ATAATAGGTACCTAATATACGTTCCAATATTTCAGGGGTGATTTTGAAACTCAGGCAGCTGTCAATAAAATACAAAAAATTAAAAGACATAGGTATATTTTGAGGGATTAAAATAAGATAAAGAAATGCACATTCTATCTGTGAATAAGGGATCAAAATAAACATTTACATAAAAAACTACGATGAATAAGCTCTAGGAACCCCTAGATGATTTAATTCCTGTAGAATTTCTAAAAGAAAAGCACAATGGGAGACTTGCAGATTTTCAGGTTTGTTTTAAAATGAAAATTGTTCACAAAAGAATAAATACCATCAATCCTTGTAGAATTGAATTGTTAATAATTTTCACTGAAAAGAAAAATCGTTTTTCCAATTACCCATTGTCAACGTTGTCTTTCTAAGAAAATTTATATCGCTGTTAAGTGGTCCAAACAAAGAAATCTAGCGGACAAAAATAACCTCGTGAGTATACCCTGCCCAGATAGCACATGGACACCCAATCAATGTATATTTGAACATCCAAGGACGTCCCTAGGATGCCCAAGTTGTTACAAAATCTTGCATGTTCGAATGAAGTCCACTAGGGACATAATCAGGGCTTAAAAATATATTTTTTTGATTTAATAAGGACATTAATAGAACTTGAAAAGGACATTAATAGAACTTGAAAAGGACATGTATAAGGAAATTAACAGAACTTGAGATGGATATTTATAGGGCTTAATAAAATCATTAAATACTAGACAAAGAATAGGTATACCCACGGGGGTTGGATTCCATGTAAATAGTTGGTAACAAGTTTGCTTGACCTCGACAGTAGCGCGCTAAGCGCTTACGGTTGAACTACACCTGTCAGTTTCAGCCGATAAAGTAGAACACTACTAATTAGAGCGATTTAAAAATTGGCAGGCTTAATAATTTAGAATTTGAAGCACTTTGAAGTAACATTTTCCTATTTGACAACTTTTACTTACAACTACTAAACAAACAATAAGTTTAGTGAATTTTTGTTGTAGGTAAATGTTGAAAAATGGAGAATGTCACTTGTTTTAACTGAAAAATAAAATTAGTTGAAAAATAAAACACATTTTTAACAAGTTTAATTTATTTAGAATTACCATGTAATTACATGTGTTTCATTTTGAACATAACAAGCACTATATCACACACTAAATTACTGAAAAATAAAAATATAATATGATAACCAGCATAGCACATGACAATGTTTTTGTTATTAAAAAAACCGGATATAGTTTTTATAAAAAGTCAAAGTAGTTCATTATAAACACAATTGTTTTAATGTTTTAAATATCCCTTATTAATCCAAGGACAAATCATTCTAATTCTAATATTCTTATACTTATTGTCCCTTATTTAAGGCCTTTCCGCGTCTATTTCAATCTAGAATAGTTGTAATGCCTATTTCGGGTACAATAAGCCTCCAGCTTCAATACAGGTGGGCTTTGAAACTCACCCTAATTAAGAAACACATTTATGAACATTCCAAAAATCTCCATACTGAGGAATATCTAAAACAAAACAAAAATAAAGGTGCAGTGTGTATCTTAAAATTAAAAATTAACAAGAGTCATAACTTTTTTAAATTTTTACATTTTTCTTGCAATAAAAGGTATAAAAATTTCAATCAAAAAAAGAAAACATATCTGATTTATGATCTTAATAGGTGAACTAAGCAAAAATTAACAAGTTGACCTAAATAGCATATAAGTTTTTGAACATATTTGGGTATTATTTGATAAATATAATAATGAATATCACCCAAAAATTGGACAATAACTTTTTGAGCACAAATCATTGGCCTTTTTTCATCTTGGTCTTTATGAGTAAAACTAGGATGAGAGGTTCTATAATATTTGTTTGTAAACACAGTTCGCTCACAAGTCCTTTCATTTTTTTGACCACAAATGTTTAAAATGTGGATCCATTTATCTCTAATAGCAGGAAAAACATAAAATTTCTTGTTAGTTTTGTGAGAAAAATACTTACTTCTGCAATTAAAATTTAAATGAATTGTTAATGATTTTCTTAAGAACCTCCCTCTAGTTAAATTAGTTAAATCTAACTTACACTTAATTAATACAATTTACTCACCTACATTTGAAAAAAATATCACCTGCATTTGAAAATGAAAATAATATCAGGCTGACATATTTACAGCAACATAACATAACCTAATTTATTTTCAAAGCCAGATTTACACCATCTAATAATATTTAAATTTAGCTTTAACTTTAAATTTGTTAACGATTATCCCTCTATTTGATCACACATTATCTTAAAGTGAAATTTAAAGGGGTAAATCAGTAAAATTATTGATTTCTTTTTCATTATTTTTGAAAACATATTTTTTTATGGGTGTAAAACGGGTTTTAATTTAGTGATAGCAGCGCGCTAAGCGCTTACGGTTCAACTACCAACAAGGAAACAAGTCCCGCCATTTATTCAAACCTTCTCTTTTTATTTTTCTATGGGTATACCAATTAATATATAACGTTATAAATAAGAAAAATATAAGAGATATATTTTTAGTTAACTTTTGTAATAAAAAAGATAGAAATAAGAGTGGAATCAATTTTTAAAGTAAAATTTTGTAGAGCCTTTTCTTAGATATCTATTTTTTTTTTAAATAAAATTTTGTCATAACTTTTAATAATTTTTATGATGAAAAAATAATAAGAGCATAGATTGTATTCTTGGTTTTTGATTAATAATTGAAATGAGATGAAAACACCTTAAAAATAAAAAAAAATAATTAACAACTATAGAAGCTTTTTTCTATAAAATGATTAAAAAAAAAATTTCCTGCAAGATAAAATGATTATAACTTATTAAAAATATTAAAATTCTAATATAAAAAAATTAACTGCTAGATAACCTTTATTGTTGCTAAATAATATAATCATTTAAAAATGTAAAAATTCCATTAATTTCGATTTTTGTCCTACCGTAAACACGCATTAATCCACCGTGCTAATGTGATGTGAAAGAAAGAAACAATTATAAATGCTTTTACTATCCCAAGCGCTGTAATGTCTAATTGATTTATAGATTTTATTCATATTATCGATAATTTAAATTATAGAATGACAGCCAAGTAGAGCGCATCTGCAAAACTACAGGCTCGGATCAAAAAATTGATAGCAAAAAATAATGTATGTAAATCATCTCATCAGATATATATGTTGTTGATGATTGGTACTTTTGTTTCTCTTATCCTAGAAATTGTGTTCTATTCGGGATATATCAATAGAGACCTTTTGTCTCATTTTTTATAATTCATAGTATTTTTAAACTTAGTCCCCTAAAATGTAATGATTCCAAATGCAAAATACGTCCATAGATGCTCTAAACAAATTCCAGACACGTCATCCCTAGATTAGTTTTATAACTGCTTTAAAAGTATGAAATACTGAATATCAGCCAATTATCCATATTCCCAAATATGGTCTGTATGAGTTTCATTCTTCCTTTCTACATGAATAACGAAGCTCAATGGACTAAACGGGTAATACCTCTCCTGAAAGAATGATTGGATAGTACAAACAGGACAACTGACAACTGTCAAAACGTTAATGTATATATAATGCTGCAAATGTGTACAATCAAATAGCTAGATACTTTGAAGACACGTACTCTAAAAGTAGAAATATGTATTGCCTAAATGCTAATTGAGTCTCTTCAAAGTTATTAGCGCAGTCGGTAGAGCATGAGACTGTTAATCTCAGGGTCGTAAGTTCTGGCCCCACGTTGGCGCCAGATGTTACAAGTCTATTAGTTGAATTTTATGAAATGATGCTCAAAAATAGATGTTAAGGGTGGTTCTTCAGAATTTACCAGCGTAAAGAAATTCAGAGACAGTGTCAAACTGTCTCGGACCAAAATCTACCTTAAGTAACGTTAAAATAAAGATACAGATAAACTGAGATAAAGAAAACAGAATTGAGCGCCACCAAGTTTTCTCAAAATGTCCCGTTTTGATTGAGCATGTCTCTAGTACCTTATAAATTAACTTATTAGAGGGTGTAGGTAGATTAAAGAAAAGTTAACTCTTAACTCTAAAAATGATACATATATTAAATTATACAAAAGTGTTTTTACGAATTTTCATTTCACTAGTGGAGTGCTACGCCCCTTGAATCTTCTTAGTTCCTCAATGCTGCCGGTCCGAGGTTGCTAGGTTAGCTGGGAATTGGGGCTAACTGGAGTCAATAAGGGATAATGATGGAAGTACTGCTGCTCCTGGAAATGCGATTGAGACTACTCATGGAGTCATTGGGATGTACCGGGACGTTACTTGAGGTACTTAGATTCGCCTGGAGGTACTAAAAACACTAGTCATTCACGATTTATTCATTCACTTTTATAAAATTTAATATATGTACCAATTTTAGGGTTAGCTTTTCTTTAATCTACCTACACCCCTAACAGGTAGTGGTGGCTTGTGAGCTGCGAAGGTGGGGGGAGAGCGCAAATTGACTTGAAGGCGGAGATTATGGAAAATTTGTTTTATTTTTTTATTAACATTGAAAAATACCACACTGTGTACTGCGCCTTGTCAATATATTCAATAAATAAAATATATTTCTTACAGTAAAAGGTTTTAAAAAAGTATAGCCGTATATGGAAGAGGCGTATTATTTTTTTCACTGTATGAAAACTTTCAATATTTCAAATATTATTTACCCAAATATTGTTTTTCAATAAAAATTACTACTTTTATAATCGCTATATTTTTCTGAACGATTATACTTATCCGTTCCTCACATAATCCTTCCTAGAATTATCAAAATCCAATACCATTAATTCCACATAGATCAAAAACAATAACAAAAATAATTACATACATTTTTATATATTTCGCGCAACGCCTAGATCCACCTCTGTAACTTCTTCGATTGCATGTCTTCAGCACTTCGGTATATAAAGTTTCTTCTCAATTACCAAGGTACAATAACTCGATTGAACGTAATGATATCAACATGGGACCGAACATCAATTATAATACATTTCTCTTCAAATTTTTTATTTATTTTTGTCTAGTTTGTGTTGTATTGAGTGCCAGCCAGAAGAGTCATCAGAAAAGGGAAATTCACAGGATTGTGCTTAAGGTATGTTTTTATTTTTTGTTATCAATGTTATCTCTTATAATATGATGTTGATAACCTAAATATTTTGCTTGAATAAATCTATATAAGGGCTTATGGGAGTTCAGCTTTAATATTAGGGTAGGAGCAGTCAATAGACTGCGTATATTTTCATTAGGTACATATTTTGATATATTTAGATATAATTAGGTAGGTACCTAATCGCAGGGTAGGTTGATGAAGTTTTTAAATTAATAAACAAAAAATTTTGTATGATGCTGATAACCGAAATGGTATGCTTGAATAGATTTATATAAAGGCTTATGAGAGTTCAGCTTTAATATTAGGGGAGGAGCAGTCTAAAGACTGCGTATATTTTTATTATTTTTTTGATATTTTCATATATGTTTTTAACTAATTAGGTACCTAATTGAAGGGTAGGTTAATGAAGTTCATAAATTATTAATAAACAATAAATTTTTATGATAAATAAAAAAATCAAATGAGATATGAATTTAAATATAATAGTATAGTTTGTACAATATATAGAATGGTCCAATTATATTAATTAACTGTAAAAAATGGTTCAAAAACGAGTTGAAATTGTTAAACTTTATTAACAAAATAATAGTTGTACTAGGCTTACTTCTCGTTTGTTTAATAACAGCCGTCCCAATAAAAATGTCAATGTGTCAAAATAGTTGAAAAGTTTGCCGATACTGCGAGTTTTCAGAAATGATGCTGCTTTGGAACAAATTGTATTAGATCAAACGCAAAGACTCCGTCCACAATAAAGATTTTAAAAGCGCACAACTCAGGTCCCACGGCTTTACATCTCTTTCGTGGACAGTACGTTTGGGTTTTTATAGATACGCCTACTTTCCTTAGATAGTCACCCATCCAAATACTAACCGCGAGCGGCCTTGCTTGACTGCAGATATCGATACACAATAGCGAATCTGATAAGCCGGGCCACTACCCTGTGAGCCGGGCCCTGTGACAAAGTCAGGTACCTATTTACAACATGTTAAATTTTAGTTTTTAAAAAAGTTGTTACTCAAAGTAAGTAAAAGATAAACCATAATTTTATTTTCTTTTAAAGTAAAAATATTTAAAAAAAATATATTGTATATTATCGGAATTTGTTTGTTTATGGAACTTTAAAAACACCTCTGATGTTGACTTTTAACGGTACCTCAACTTTATCAACAGTTTCATCATATTCATACCAAATTTCTTCAAGTTCTTGGGGCCACTATATTATTTAATTATAGCACTTTATTTCATAAGGATTTTAAGAGGTAAATGGTAGGGTAAAGGTGAGTTTTTATTAAAGGACTTAACCAATAACTGGTTTTTAGTCACAGGGAATCATCATTATCAATATCTTAGCCATTGTTTTTATCAAATTCGATAACAAATGTCTTATTGCTTGTTAACACAAAAGAAACACCATTTTTGCACTTTTCTGGAAATTTTTCTCTAATTTTCCCAATAAGTGTGGTAAATTGTTATAGATTTAATACAAAATGGCGTTTTTTTAAATTAATTTTAAAAATTTTCAAAATAAATATTTTTCGAAGGTTTACAAAAAATTCAAGGTTTCCCTACCCTAAGTTTTGTTATTATTGGTATTTCTTGAAAATTTCACGAAAATAGGACTAAAAATAAGGCTTAGATAAGACGAAAATATTGATATTACTGTCGAATTTAGTTTGGCCATTAGTATGAAAATAAAATAGTAAATTAATTTCTTTTAAGAATAACGATGATTAGATAAAAAGGATCCAAAACAAATAAAATGAGCTATGTACCTATTTTCGACCGAACTTGTCTAACTTAAAACCATAGGTTGTTCGGTTGTCCTTAAATTCGACATGAAGTTTTTTTCCTATTTGGAAAAGTAAATTAACGAAAAGTTGTAACAAAATACTTAATATTTGTACTATAAAAGAATTAAAACATTAATTTAACTCATGCAAACTTGTTGGAAAGTTTAAAATAATGGTTGATGGTCTCTTAACTTAGAGTAAGCGTTACTCTGTAGTCGTATTCACTGGTATAGCTGCACTGGAAATTTTTTAGGTTTCTGAATTTAAGTACTATCCGTCAAAAATATGTAGGCGATTTTTAAAAATGCCCGCTAAGGGTTTAGACCAATATCTTTAGATTTCATTAATCTTACACACACGGGTTTCTTATTTTGGAACGATTTACACCGGAGTGGTGTAACTTTGTTGTTTAGAAAATATTGATTGATTCTTATTTGTTTCGTGACACTATTCAAATGTACTAATTATTAATGAAATACCTTGTATATTTTCCAGTGTGTGTTCTTTCAGATTTAGCAACCTTGTTCATTGCTGCTAGCTTTAAAAACTGGTAAAAATGAATTATTTACTTTCTTATTTGATACTTAAAAAAATTTTTTTTGTTTCTTTGATGTTATCATTTTTAATTTCTTTTCAAAATAAGGATAAACTTAATAGTTCATTTATCTCAGCTCTCATCTGGTGAATGAGTACTTACATATTTTCTATTTTCATGAAGGAACGATCACCGAGAAGTCACAAAAAGCACGCTAATCACAGCCACAATCAAAGTAGGAAAAGGGGACACAAGAATAAAGTAAAAAAGGATAGCGATGAATCGGTTTCGAGCAGTTTTGAAGACAGCAGCAGCAATGAAGACAGTTTTGAAGAGATATTTAATCGACATAAAGTAAGAAACAATAAACATTCCTGTATCTATATGTAAAAGTATATTTGGATATTTGGTGAATCCCCTAACACGAGCTAAGATGCAACAAATAAATAAGTTATTACTAAGACAAAATCGTACTTTTAATACCATGTATCTAAGAAACAAAAGTAGTTCTCCTCTTCTTTTTGAACATGATAAAGGTTTTTCCATGAGCTTGTTTTGGAACATTCTCTCAATAGTTGTTCTCCAAACTCAGTCTTTTATGATACCTCGAACTGTACTTTTTGTTAATCCAAGGTTTATATCTGATTCTGGTATTTCTTCTGACCCCCTTTTTGCAAGTTTGTCAGCTTTTTCATTGCCCTCGAAGACCTGCCACCCAGACTATTTTTACTATATTTCGGTCTACCAATGTTTTCAGTTCTTAGTGCAATCCCATACCAGCCTCGACCTCACTTTCTGACTGGATATGGCCTTAAGGGCCACAAAGCTGTCTGACAGTATTTGGATCTTCTTGTTTCCGATAGCTCTCTATTGTTTTTTCTTGCACATTGCAAGATTGCATAAACCTCAGCATGAAATACTGAAACATGCCTTCCTATTGCATAGCCAAGATTGGTGTTGAGGGTTTTGTAAATTATTCCAGCCCCAGTACCTTCCGCAGTCTTTGATCCGTCTGTGTACCAGGTTTTTCCTGCCATTGGGCACCGAGTTTCCTTATAGTTCTGTCTGGTATTAAAACCTCGGATGGAGCTTTGAATAAGTAACGTTTGGTTATGTGATCTGTTCTCATATACAGGGTGTTTCCGAACTTTGCGTCCAAATTTATAGGGGTGGTAGTTCGCATAATTTGAGAGCGATATGCAATTTCATTTTTCTAAAAAAATTATAATAAACAAAATAGAGCCATTATATCCTATCCTGAGCGCATAGCGCAATAGTCTTCAAAAACAGATGCGATTTGCAATTTTATCGATTCTAAGCGTAGCGCGCGCGAGTCGAGGCGATCGCACCGCTGTACAGGACCGTACCTGTTTATAATTTTTAATTATTTTTATTTTAAATATTTTGGAAAAATGAAATCTGCGAATCGGTCTCAAATTATGCGAACTACCACCCCTACAAATTTTGACGCCAAGTTCGGAAACACCCTGTATAGCACGTTCCATGTCGCTAACATTGACCGGCCTAACGTTAAGATTTCTGTGTTCCCTAATCTGTAAGCACCTAATATTGCATCCCCTTGTATCACAAGGTGAAGTGGGGTGGCAAGACTGTTGTTGCTATAAGGGTTGTTCTAATTGTTCCAGTTATTCCAGGACAGGCAAGTCTTTGTTTCTTGCTTAGTCTCATTATTGCTGCTCTTCGTTGCGCCTCTGACCACCACACCAAAGCTGCGTTTGTTATTATCGTTCTTACCACATTATTGTATGTCCAGTATAGCTTATTTGGTTTCAATCCCTATTTTAGTCCAAAGAAGCGGTTTGCGATCACTAATGATGTTTCCGCTTTTCTTTTTGTTCTTTTCAAATACTGTTCAGGCAATTTTCGAGTCAATTGTGTAACTCCGAGATACTTTACTTCTCCCTTTAGATGGACATTTTCATCTTAGAGGTTCTGGTTCCTCTAACTTTTTCCAGCGCGTGAATGCAATTATGGTAGATTTGTTGGTACTAATTTTTAGTTCTTCCTTATTTATTAATTTTGTTACTATGTTTAGATCCTCTTGAATACGATCTCTAACTGTAGTTTTGTATTTACTAGACTATCGGTATATCCCAGAGGGTTTTATTTTTATAATTTTGGATAGACTCAGCAGCCCATCCATGACCAGGTTCCACAGGAGTGGAAGTACTCCTCCCTGTGAGAATCCCCAGCTGCTATCGTCTTTCCCATAAGGATTGCATGTATCGTTTTCCCTCTTAGAATAAAGTCAATCCAGGCACATGTGTCCTCGATTCCTCAAAAATGTAGGGTTTAATCGACAGTAATTTGTTTCAGCCTCATCAAAAAAAAACTCACAAAAAACAACAATCATACCAACATTCAAGATTCCCTCCAAACTTAGACATCGAAGAATCAAGACATCATTCTTTCCGCGATGATTTATCACCATTCTCCAACAATGAGTGGATACCGCTTCACACCGATTATCATCACTCTTCTTCAGAGAACCACCACCATTCATCCATACAAGACCACCGTAGAGAAAAAGACAGGAGAATTAAGAGGAAACCGAAAAAACACTCCCACAATAAGTCGCATAATAATAAAAACAAACCTTACGGAATTGAATTCACAACGTCATTCCCTTCACTACAATTTGACACATCCACTTTCTACCCTCCTATAGATGTCTTATCAAATTTTCAAGCTTTAAATAAGAACATACTACAAACCAATCCTTCCTCCATTATACCGATATCTTTAGAGCAAACTACTGTTAAAGATACAAGCGATAAGCTGAAGAACCATAAAACCAGTTATGACGTAACGGAAGGCCAAGGTTCCGATTTGCGCGAATTGATTTTGGTGCCGGATCAACCAGATTATGGTCAGATTGATTTCGGACCGACGGAGAAAGATTTAGGCGGACATGGTCCTAGAAGTAGGGGCTCGATTAGGTTCAGAACTAGAAGCAATTATTGAACATTAGAGTAGGGGTGAATTATTTATGTAATAGTTTAAGGATTCAGTTCATTGTAATTAGTAAGATACGTATAACGTAAATTGTTGGAAAATTCGTTAAATTATTAAATTTTGTAGGTTATTTATTTATATATGTCGACTGTCACTTATGTCAGTTCATTTACTTTGACAGTTAACTATCTACGTGTCAAATGTCATACGTATCAAATTTAGGATACTCTACATGACAGATTTGTTGTTTTGACATATTTAGGTCAGTAAAAGTACAATTTATGAAATACTTGTACAGTAATTATTTATTGTTCTACAAATATCGATATCTAGATTTATAAGTTGTTATTTGTTTGTTTTTTTTTATACTATTTTGTACTAAAATAAAAACGAAAATATACAAAAGACATTTTATTTCCTTAAAAGTACGTACATATTTACATTTGTTTCCTGATACGACGACGTTTTATATTTTCGGTAAATGAAGTACCTGCGGCTTTGAATACCTACTTTCTCAATCATAGTCAAAGAAAAAAGGGTTTCCTTCCCATCAGCTGGGAGTAGTGGAGAGTAATATAGCTTGTAGACCAGTATAATGTAGACTATACTGGTCCCCTACCTACATTATTATTTTCCACAGCTTTCAGATTATGGAAAGGCAACCCTTCTTTCTCTGACGGCGACTGAAAAGAAGCAAAGCAAAAATAGCAAACGTCGTCGTCCCAGGAAACAACATTCATACAAAATTAATCAAAAAAACATTATTTGGGCAATTTGTAATAACCATTGGAATAAATCAAATGATGTTCTCTAACTTTGCGATCTAAAAAGACTTTCAGCTCTTGGATGTTGCATTCAATAGTGGGACCTTGGAAAGCGAACATTTTCAACATTTGATGTATCCTCTCCAATGGTAAAGTATCCAAATTCATCAACATACCCACAATGTACGACCAAAAAGTCTAAAAATGAAAATTTCAATAATACCAACCTAAGATTAAGAATTTGACAAAAATGTACCTGTAATTCTTCTTCTCTTTGGTCCTGCGCACTAGCCATAGCAGATTCTGTTTCGTAATCTTCAACGAAGATATCTTCCTGTATATTGCTGTCTTTATTCTCCAAATCTTCTTGGACACAAAAGACGTCTTGAATCGTTTCTACGATTATTCCATGACATTGCCAGAAACCTATTTTCCTTCTCAACACCGTTGGAGGACACATCATCACCTTACTGAGCTCTTCCAGCTCCCAGGAACCTAAAAGTGGACTTTATACGGTTTCGCAAGTTAAAATGAATCACAAATTTCTACTTTTATCCTGAAAATGCATGATAATCGATGCGTGCACTGTCGAAACGGACAAATTTAACGTCCTATCCGCCAATTCGACTTCTACATCGACGAATCCCAAATGATTTTTCCAACACAACGTCCGACTGCCTTTAAGCGTTTCGAACGCCGTCACGTATTTCGAAATTTGCGATTGCACCTTGGCATGCAATTCAAGTTTTTCTTCTTTGAACGCAGGCCAGAATTGCGCCGAAACTATCATAGCCGATAAGGGGATTTCATCTTCCGTGTATTCCGGATCTTGCTTGATGTGCTGATTGATACGTTTCGAATCCGCTATGTCTTTCAACATAACCTAAAAGTCGTGTAGAGTCAATAAATAATTCAGCAGCCAGAACTAAAGTTGGTGGCTGGTGTGTGGCATCTTCTTGTCTAGTCGGGTTGGCTTTCATTTTACAAAAATAGATATCAACTTTGTGGAATCCTTATATGTTAAAATTGCATCAATAAAAATTTAAAAAACGTATAGAGAATCGGGTAAAGAATGTATATTGTATAAAAATTTTAATAAAAATAATGTATCAATATAATTAATTAACTCCTAGCAATCTTAGTTACCTGGTTAGGTGAGCTTAATCTTTTCTTTCCATTAAGGCTTCCACAAAAGTTAGTTCCCTTAGGGTCGATTCCATCGTTGTGTTAAACGGAGATTAAAATGACATTGTTAATGTAAAAATGTTATTTTAAACTTCGTTTAACACAACGGTGGAATCGGTCCTTAAAGAATGACACAAGTGACGAAATAAAAGTATAAAGAAATTATAGGGCGTACAAGTCATTACAAAATTCTTTGTAGATAACATTTTTTCTATTTTTTTATTCATAAACTTTTAATTGTAAAATTAAGTCACAACCCATCAAAGAGCATATTGAAAAGTCAAACCGACTAGACAAAAGCCAAAAAAGTTGTGGCGGCTAAACTAAAAATGGCATGGGAACGTTTATCAGTGAAAATACCTCGCAATAGTGTAGCTGGGAATCACCGAAACGTAGTTTTAACAATTCCAAGTAGCGTATTTCCTTTTCCGTGTCGCACAAGCACTGAGTCAACAGTCTATTAGCTAGCAAAGTCCTATACTCGTTAACGAATAGCTCTTTGCTACCGTAGACGTTCACCAACATTGAAATTATATCGGAAGTACGCCTGGAAGAATATTTACCTAAAAAAATGTTATTTTTTAGCGGTCTAATATGACAGTTGATAATATTGACGTTTGACTTTGACGTATAAAGAAAAATTATTTACTGGGTGTTGTATCAATGGGATCTGGTACCCAAGATTCCCAATCCTCAGTATCTTCATCAAGCGGCGTGTTTTCATCTACTTGAACGGCTTCACCTCTAACTAATTCCTCCGCCAAGTCGTTAGGGCCTTCTTCAGTCAAACTAGTAACCACGCATCTGAAAAATCATGTAATTACGCGGATCTATCAAAAATTGACGCCGTACCTCACAGTATCCTCCCTACTTCTCAAATACTGATGTACTGGTTGGGTTACAGTCTCCAACAGCAAACCGGTGGGATCCAATACCCTTAAGGACCTGATGGCGGCCACGTAGGCCGTCAAAACGTCGGGAGTACTGACGCCGGGATGTAACAATCTGGTTTCCATTGCGTTCTGAAGTTTTTTTGTTAACATTGATTTCAAATCTGTTCTCGGAAGACACAATCGCAAATCTTCGAGGGCCGATAACGATTCCGGATATTCTAAATAAAATTTGAACGTTTGGCGACTGTCAAAATTGCATCAAGTGACGCAGACAGCTGTCAAAATCATAAGGAGTCATCATTATCAAGTTTAGTATACAGACGAGGTTTAAACACTCTGCCAACTAGGCCACTATTAATGACAGTAATAATACATTTTAAATAATTTTTAGGCTGTTATTAGCTGCTATTAGCTCTATGACCGCAGGCGCTTGGGATATGCCCCAGGGCGAAATAAGAAAGAAGTTTAGTTTCGTGTTAAACTTCAAAACCACAGAGCTGGGCTGCAAGAAAAAATGGAGGCAAGAATCAATCGTGGTTGCAACGAAACCATTCATAAAATGTTAGAATATAATTCTCTTAACTTTTTTTTTCACCTGTTGTTCAATCAATTAGTATATTATTTCTAAATTAATTGTATTTATCAATTTTGTTTGTACTCTTACTCTGTAATTGAGTCTTGACATGTAAAGTAATGTAATAATAAATAAAAGGCATGCAATTCAGTGGTATACAGATGGTTCCAAAACCACACAAGGAACTAGAATAGAAGTGTACGCGTAAATACAAAAGCATTTTGCAAGAGTAAATTTGCATTGAGAAGTGTATTCAGTTCAACACCGATAAAAACTACTGCAAAGAAGATATCACCGATATCCAAACAGCAATCAAAGCACTGAGGTAGACAAGGAAAATACAGTTACTCTCACGTTGGTTTCAGGACCCAACAGGGTAAAGGGTAGTGTTCCAAAATAAAGAATTTTGAAACAAATAAAAGACGGTCCTGTGCTCAAAAAAGCCAGGTGTTCATTCTCAACAGGCGTACGTGACAAAAATCAGGTAGCTTTCGTGCAAAACTGGTCGGAGTGACGTAATCATATGTCTATCTCTTTCGTAAAAACATAAAAAGTCAGAAGAGCGATTCGAGCCTTCTCACAGTAAGGGTCGTCTCTCCCATACAGAACAAATACTAAATTATCTGAGCAACAATACAATGTAGAGTCCTAGTACTTAAATATGTAAGCAGTAGTTAGTTAAAACAAATGTAAATATGTACAAAGTTTGGTCATGCAGCGTTTGTGCACAATAAAGTGTTTAAAAAAAATGTTGAGCTTTCATTGTCCACATGGAGATGGTTGCAGCCAGCATCTACAGGAGACAGTCCATTTTGGTAAGCGTGCCTTAGGGCCGTATTTAATATTTGTGGGGGATTCAACTAATAGAAATCCACCAGGTAGATAAGACTTGCAATAGAAGATATGAGTTATAAGCCTTAGTAGCAGCAGATGATACAATAGATGTTTAAGGTCGCATACATAAAACATAACAGCAAATGTTTGATGTCTATTAAAATTGTAATGAGTAGGTTATTTGGTCAGGAAATGTTTGACAGCTGTCTGATTTTTGACATATTATGAACTTAGTTACCTATAATAATGTTAAAAAGTTGATCTATTCTGATTTTGGTGTAGCTGTTATAAAGAAAATTTATTAATTTCTTTTCAAAAGTACCCATGGACTCTTCAATTGACGTGGAATTATCATAACAATAAATATTTCTCAACCAATTCAGAACTATGTCTTGCAACCACTAAAAATATAGGAAAGCTCATTTTTTTTATCAAATTCTACATTAAATTTCTACGTACCTTTTCTAAAACAGCTACAAATGATGAATCAAAACAATCTTTACAAATCTTCTGTATGTGAGAATGTATGTAGCCATATATCAAACTTGTAAGAGTTTGCCCTACTAGAGGTTCTAGCAGAGTCATTTCTCCAAGTTTTCTAATAGAGAACAAATGAAATTAATGATAGGGCTCGATTATTTTTAGAAGAATACATTTCATCACACATAGTTTAACATATCATAACCAGGTGGAGCTTATAAGGATGACGCCGATCTAAAACTGGCTATGGTAGGGAAACTTAAGACCAATAAAGCTTGGAGCTGTGTGATCATGTGACCACTTCTACTGCCTACAAATTGGTTTATGGGCATAGTGATGAAATAATGTATTTCTTCTTGAAATAATCAAATCCTTAATTATGTTTTGTAAATAGAAATAATTTAAAACATTGTAATAGTGCTTTAAGAGTCTTGAGATAGTTTTAAAATTACATATAAATAAATGTATGAATCATAATGAGACACATACAGATATCTAGCATCTAGGTGTCTCCAAGAAAAGGTATATAACTTAAGATAATATTAATGGGTTGTAACATAATTATGTAACTATTTTTGTATTTTATAAAATAAATAAATAAATAAATAAATGTACAAATTGAAGCCATTTATTCCAACAACTGTAATACAGTTGAAATGTTCACAGACTGACCAGGGACCCAGACCAAAATAAAATAATATTTAAGTGTAGGAATAAGCAGAGAAATGGGGAGAAATTGTAAATTTATTTTTGTTTGTATTTATTTATTTTTTGTATATTTTTAGAAGCAAACCACCCCCTCTGAATCTCACTTTAAATTGTTTGTTGTTCTAATAGCATGTAGTTTTTTTGTCTCTCTCTAAACATTATATTTACTCATGTGATATTGTAGGGTGACCCTATTTCTTTTGACCCAAAGATAAATACAAAAACAGAGATGTCTTGAGGTCCTTTTTTTAGTCATGTATTACGTCTTATTTGTTACATTTCAGTAAATTATGTTTTACATTGCTGGACAATAATGCATTTTGTTACCCTTAATTTAATATTAAAAAATATATACTTAAAAAAACACAACTATATAGTAAATTAAAATACACACCTATTGGTTTCCTGGAACAAATGCATGCAATTGCAGTGTAAACTCTCCTGCGAGCATATAATACATTGTCCTTCATTGTTCTCATCTACATCATCAGTCTTGAGAGCAGCTTCGTAGAAATTCATAACAACTAATTGATAGTCCAAATTCAATTGAGACAACAAAGTGGCTTTCAGAATCAGCTTCAAAGCATCATAAACATTTTTTTCATTATATACTTGTTCTTCTATATCTGTAGCTTGTCTAAACATCTCTAATTTACGCATTGTATGTTCCAATTGACGGTACGAATCGTATAACGATTTGACAGCATTATAGAATTGTTTGAAGCCTTTATTTTCATGTTCGTTGTTTTTGAAATAAGACCAGAATTCGGGGGCGACTTCGTCGCGTAATCTTTGCTCTATTTTACTAACTATTAGATTTTGAATGTGTACCGCAAGATTGATTTTCTTTATAAATTCCACTGCGTCGCAAAATTCTTGCTTCAAGAATGTCTTCTCTTCTAGTTGGCACAAGTTGTAAGTTTCGTCTAATATGGGGAAAACTCTTTTTATTAGCGACCAACCCTCTTTAAAATCCATCGTTATATCACAGAATACAGGTATTAACTATCGTAGTTGTATGATAGATACATTCATAAAGGTTTTATTAATAAAGTTTAATAAATAAGGTTTTTATTAATTTATATTTTGAAATTTTTTTTAGGTTAGATCAGTTAAATTTTTATTTGACAACTATTAACGTTGACTAGTAGTGTTCGGATATTTCTCTATGTTCGGATTAGCCAGGGGTGGAACGGGACAGGAGCGGAGTTACCGAATTTACTTTATATAGGCAACTTTTTATACATGCTAAGATATTACTGGTTGTCTGTCATTCATATTGCATTTGAATATTTCTAGGTTATGTAGATGTTATTATGTTGATTATGTTGTTTAGTTAAGATTAGCGATTAGTTTCAATATTGTTTCAATTTAATCTGGTGAAAAGTGCTCTTTAATATATTTCTAGTCAAATATGGATATAAAAATCGAGCCAATCGAAGAAGACCAACCAGATTTAATAGATTTAAATTTGCTAAAAACAGAAAAATCAGAAGACTTACAATGTCCTACGTGTTCGGAAACGTTTAATTGCCAATTTCTACTAAAAGTACATCAAATGCTACATGATCCTAACGACTACTGCTTTATATGCAAAAGAAGATATCCGAATAACATTGATGTTCATGTTTTAGGAAAACACTTCAACCAGTGTGAGTTATGTTTAAAGACATTCACTGAAAGAAAGGCGATGAAGAGGCACATGGAACTGCATACTGGGGAATTAACTTATTTAAAATGTAATCAGTGCGATAAAATCTTTAGACAGGCTGGTAGTTTGGGTGTCCATATCCGAGCTACACATCAAGGATTAAAACCCTTTACTTGTACAGTAAGTAGTTAGCAATAAAAAAGTATAAAATACAATATAATTCTCTGTTATTTTTTAATGTTTTCTCAAACACATATTCTTAAAATAACTGATATAACCTATATTTTAAGCAATGTGAGGTACCTGTCAGTTTTACCACCAATTCGGCTCTTAAAAGACACATAAATAAATTCCACAACCCCAACTGCCCTAGAGTAGATTACATAAAAGTTCAAGAATGTTCTTTTTGTCATGAGCCTCAGAGGGGCTGGAAAATGAAACGGGATCACGAGATCCAGCACAGGACTAGCAAAATCTGTAAGAGCTGTGACAAGATGTTTAAAAACCTTTTGGAATTGAGAAAGCATTTTGCAGTTGAACATGCAAAACCCGGGTGGTTCCCATGTGAGGAGTGCTGGAGAAATTTCAATGCTCCATATTTGTTGAAGAAACATAAAGAAATCCACCAAGGAAAAAGATATTCCTGTGAGGTAAGAGATGATCTGAATAATTTTTGACATGTCTTGGCATAGTTAATGTTACAGTGACAATACAACTTCCTGAAACATGTTTGAAAAACTGAAAAATCAATACCTTGATAATATGTTTTATTTAAATCTTACATAGGTAGAGTTTTTTAAGAGTAAAACATTAATTAAATGCGAAATCCACCCTGTGGGTGGTTGAAGAACAATAAAAATATATTGGTCAATTTTTAAACACATTTTTGAAAAATTGTAGCAAGGTTATAGTGTAATAATTGTACCTTATATTGCTTTTAATCTTTTGTTTTTTGTATTGTAGGTCTAATGATGGCCATGTTAGGCCGAAACTAGTTGCACCAATTTGATATAAATAAAATATATTATTGTGGTAGGTATTGATTGAGTTTTTCTTGCCTCACAACCGACCATATTTGAGACAATGGATAATCTTTCATTTCTTTCTAAAAAAAGATTTTTTTTAGTCTTGGCATTTTATAAACAATAGAACTTTGTAGAAAGTATTTTCAAATGATTAAAAAAAAAACGTTTTTTGCCATTTTTTAACTATATGGCTTAGTTGAAATTATACTCGACTTTATATTAATTTATATAACTTTCTAAAAGTTATTTTCAAGTCATTTAAACAATGTTTTTGATGATTTCTTTTTAATTTTGATATTTTGGTGATGAAAAAACTTCGCAATAGTTGATATCCAATATTTAAACATTGTTTATAACTCTTTTTTGATGTCTTGACTTTAATAAAATTGACAAAACTTCATAAAACTGGTTTTCAATTTGTATAACAATGATTTTTGCTATTTTTAAACACCTTGGTTTAGTTAACGTTACAATAATGATTTAATTTTGTAAAAGATGTTTCCCAGTCATTTAAATAATATTTCTGACCATTGTTTTAATGTCTTGGCATTTTAGAAACGATGAAACTTTGTAAAACTTGTTTTAAAATTATTTAAACAATGTTTTTAGCCATTTTGTAACGTCTTTTTGTAGTTGGCGTTACAATAAAGATATACCTATCAAACATTGTTTTCCAGACATTTACGCAATGTTTTAGTAATTTTTTTTTAATCCCGATGTTTTAGAAACTACCAAACTGCGTAAAACTTATTTTCTGTTTATCAAAACAAAACTTTTTGGCAATTTTTAAAGCGCTATGGCGTAGTTGGCGTTACAATAATTTATACAATTTTCCAAAAAGTTGTTTTTAAACATTATTTTTGGTGATTATTTTTAATCTTGACGTTTTAGAGAAGAAAAAAGTTCGTAAAAGTTGTTTTTCAGTATTTATACAATATTTATGAGCATTTTTTAACGTCGTCTTGACTTTATGACAAAACTTCGGTATACTGGCTTTAAAATCATTTAAACAATGTTTCTGACCATTGTTTTAACGTCTTGTCGTTATTAAAAACGCCAGAACTTCCTTAAACTGGTTTTAAAATTATTTAAACAATGTTTCTAACTGTTGATTTAAACTCTTGGCCTTTTAAAAACGATAAAAGTTCGTAAAACTTATTTTCAAATTATTGAAACGATATTTTTAGCCATTTTTTAATGCCTTGTCGTATATTTGGCGTTACAGTAAATATACAACTTTCAAAAGTTGTTTTCCAGACATTAACACAATGTTTTAGACGATTTTTTTTTAATTTCCACGTTTTAGAAACGACGAAACTTCGTAAAACTTATCAAATTTTTGAAACAGACGTTTATGCCTATTTTCTAACGCTATGACGTAGTTGACATTACAGAAATTTATACAACTTTCTAAAAGTTGTTTAGAATTTATTTAAACAATGTTTTTGGTGATTTCTTTTTAATCCTGACATTTTAGGGATGAAAAACTTCGTTAAAGTTGTTTTCCAGTATTTAAACAATGTTTATGAGCATTATTTAACGACTTGACTTTATTAAAAACGACATAACTTCGTTAAACTGGTTTCCGAATTATTTAAACATTTTTTCTGGTCATTGTTTTAACGTCTTGGCGTTTTAGAAACGATAAAACTTCGTAAAACTTGTTTTAAAATTATTGAATCAATATTTTTGGCCATTATTTAACGTTTTGTCGTAGTTGGCGTTACAGTAACGATACAACTTTCTAAAAGTTGTTTTCCACTCATTTAAACAAGTTTTTGATGATTTCTTTTTAATATTGACATTTTAGGGACAAAAACTACGTAAATGTTATTTTCCATTATTTAAACATTTATTAGCAGCATTTTTTAACTTCTTGGCATTATTAAAAACATCAAAATTTCGTTGTACTGGTTTTAAAATAATTTAAACAATATTTCTGATCATTGCTTTAACATCTTAGCGTTTTAGAAACGATAAAACTTCGTAAAACTTGTCAAATTATTAAAACAATGTTTTTGGCCATTTTTTAACGCCTTGCTTAGTTACGGTAACGATAGAACTTTCTAAAAGTTGTTTTTCAGTAATTTAACAATGTTTTTAATGATTTGATTTTAATCTTGGCGTTTTAGGAACGTCAAAACTTCGTAAAAGTGTTTTTTTTTTATTAAACAATGTTTCTGGTCATTTTTTACGTATTGACGTTTTAGAAACGACCAAACCTCATAAAATTTGTTTTTAAATTATTTAAACAATATAACAATATTTCTGACCATTTTTTTTTAATGCCTTGGCGTCATTTAAACAATGTACCATGATTTTTTTAATCTGGACTTTTTAGAAATTTCGTAAAAGTTGTTTTCCAGTTTTAAAACACTGTTTCTGACCATTTTGTTAACGTCACGACGTTTTTGCAATTACAGAACCTCGTAAAACATGTTTTCAAGTTATTTAAACAATGTACAATATTTACGATCAACATAACTCCGTAAAAGTTATTTTCTAGTTTGAGCAACGTTTATGATCATTATTTTAACGCCTTGGCATAATATTAGAAACGATTGTTTATCTTACAGAACGTTTCCAAATGTGAAACAGTCAAATCATGTTTTCAATAAATTTAATTGTAAAATAAACTGTTTAGGTATAATGTTTTATGTATATAAAGCGCACGAGACTTAGGCCATTTTAATTTGTAAATATAAGACGTTTTGTCGCTTTTAAAACATCGGTTGAAAATAGTCAAACTTCGTTGTTAACATGACTGGAAAACAATGTTTTCAACAGATTAAAATTTAAAACGGTTTTAGAATTGTATATCTATTTCAAAAACAACAAAAACATTTTAAAAAATTCAATTTTCTTATATTATTCGATTTTAGCCCTCGGATTCCCATAGAATACAATTTTTGTACTCAGGTGCCAAACTTAGTAGAACAAAAACAAAAATCGTTTGAAGGCTTCGGTTCAATTAAAAAATCTTTACTCGAATTTTACTATAAAATCGATAAAAATCACTAAGAAAAACGTATATTTTTTGCGTCAAACAAGTTTTACTCATCGTTTTGCTCGACTTCTAATTAAACTTATTAACAACCTTCTGAATGTTACACAAAAAAACTCGTCAATGTATGACATAACCATAAAACAATTAATTGATAAATTGTTTCGTTTTTAAAACACCCGAGAAGTTTAAAACCAACTTTATTTACATAATTGGAAAACAATGTTTTAAAATTTAAAATGGTTTTTGAGTAGTTAAAACATCAACTTATTTGTAAAAAGTGTATACAGGATTTTTTAAAACTTTTTTGCAGGAATGCGACCTATTTTATTTAAATCGGTCCAGCTTACACAAACACAGAAGAATGTACCATAATCCTGACAACCCTATGAAAATCGATCAAAACAATCTGAAATGCCGCTACTGCTCGAAATCCTTCTTGAGCATAAGACAGAAACAGATTCACATCTTCAAAAACTATTGCACCAAAGGCAAACCTGTCTGCCAAATATGCCAGAAAACATACCCTTCTCCTTACAGTCTGAGCAGGCATATGCACAGAAGTCACACTCTTCTAGACACGTGTCCCCACTGCCAAAACCAGTACTCCCAACGCCAGTTGAAGAGGCACCTGAAAACCATCCATCAAGAACGCAAGTGTCATCATTGCCAGGAAGTTTTCTATATTTACGAACGTTATCACGAACATTTGTTAAGCCATAATGTCGATATAAGGTGCGGCGTTTGCGGTAAGGATTTGCGAATGGGCAATATCGAGAAGCATATGCAGAAGTGGCATCAAAACCAGGCAAGTATTTATTACATTTGTAATTGTCAACAATCCCAACAATTTTTTTTCCTGTCTTTTTATTTTTCCTATCTTGAAGGAGTAATGTTTGGTTATGTGATCTATTCTCATGTCTAATCCGTCCCCTGTCACCCCCTTGTGATACTTGGGTGACTTAAACAACTAATCTTGCCTTGTCTACGTGATCATGAACTAAAATAAAAAAAACCTGACAGCGATGTACAGACAATAATTCCTTTCCAACCGGGTATTTAATACATGAAGTTCTCAGTGACGAAGTTGTTTGTGCCATAACAGTCTTTATAAATAAGTTACACGAGTGTTTGTTTACCATTTTTATTTAACTTTTTTAGTGTTTCCTTCTTTTTGTTCCAGTGTTTACTTTGTCCTAGTATTCTATTTTGTTTTTTAGGTCATAGGTCTTATGTCGGCAGCTTTTATCAATGCATAATAATAATTTTTAAAAAATTGTCCATACCACACCATTTATTACTAACCTTAAAAATAAATAGTATTATTATTACCAGGATGCGCCTACGGAAGAATGCAAGTACTGCAGGAAGACAGTGGTCAATTTGAATATCCACGTCGCCAATGTGCATACATGTCCTCTATGCGATCTAAACGGGAAATTGTTTACGACGATGGGGTTGCGAATGCATTACAAAAGGCACCATCCGCAGGATATCAAGTGCTCCAAATGCGACGAGAACATATCGATATCGCATATGAAGTCGCACGTGTCAAAAGTGCATAATAGGAAACGGTTTTACTTGTGCGATAAGTGTGGGATATTGTTCTACAACCTTGTGCATTATAAGCGGCATATAATGAGGCATTTGGTCTGCACGATTGGATGCATGATGTGCGGTAGAAAGTTCATCGGTGAAAGGAAGCTCAAGATGCATCGGTGCGTTAAAAAAACGGGTGAGTTCTTTCAATACAAAGTTTAAAAAACTTATTTTTATCATGTTAATATAGTCCATTCCATTAGAAAAAGTACAGACTCATGAAAACCAAACTTTGACTTTTTATTTAGCAACACTTAGCAACGATCACAACAGTGGCGCGCCGCAATCGATAATTCTTTGACGTGTTTTACGGTACCGTTTAAAAAAGGTTGGCGCCCATCTTTCTATTTGTCTTTGAAGATTAAGATTGTGTTAAAGAGTTTATTTTGCAGAATATTTGTGATTTTGAGTGTTTTAAGACGTTAGTTTTTTTATAAGTTGTATGTTTTATATAAATAAGTATATAAAACAATGCTTACTAAAAAAAAAAAAAATATCAAATGTGTATGCCTCTGATTTATCACATTTACAATATGACGATGACTATGGCGACACTTTCGCACACATACCGATGTGACACATTTGTATTCTTCTCTAGTGGAATAGACTATAATGTCGCTTAAGGATTTTTTTTCCTCAAATGTTTTTTATTGCTTCTAAACAATTCAATAATGTATACAGTAAGTAAAGTTCTTCTCCTTGGGATGGAAATTACTAATAAAATTGATAAAAATCGTTAAAACAGTATATTTCTCTTTTGTAATGCTCTTATTGGCATTGATTTGAATAAAATTGAATAAAACATTGTTTTTTTTTGACCTCGGATTTGCCTTGAATAAAAATTTTATACTCTGGTGGAAAATTTACTAGAACAAATAAAAAAATATTTTGAACGAAATTTTCTATTTGGGTGAAAAATTACATTTAAAAAATACATTTTTCCTATATCATGCCTATTTTTCACTCTGATTCGCCTTGAATAAAAATGTTGAAATCCGGTGGCAAATTTCCTAGAACAAAGACAAAAATATAAAAAAACATATTTCTAAGGTCATACAATTTTAGCTTCCTTCAAATTGATATTTTCAATTCCGGTAAGAAATTTACTATAGAAATATGGTTGCAAAATTATGAAACATGAATCTCGACAGCTCGAATAAAAAAAAAATCCACTCGAATTGGAAAATTACTAGAAAACCCTCAAAAATCGTTAGAAAATTACCTATATTTTTTTACTGCTGGCAGTTTCGGCTTGACTTAAGGTGATTACAGCACTCCTCATAATTTATGGGCAAAGATATCTCAAAAAGTTTTTTTTTTTAATAAAAATTTTGGAAAAATAAATTAGGCAATATCTAGAATATGCATATATTTTAAAGTTTCAATTTCTTCCAGTTTCCGAGAAAAAAAATCAAAGGATTTTAAATTTTGAAATATAATGAAAATAAATGCGTTCCTTAACAGCACTATTTTTAATATAATCCTGAAATTTATGCTCTTAGTGTCTTGATTTTTTAAAATTCGCCAAAATTAGTGGCTAAAACACCTCGTTAAGTGCTATCTTCTGGTCTAAACTGGTGTAAATCGTTGCAAGAAACGAATGATGACTGAGAGTGTACGATACGATAGTTACAGAAGCGTTACACCAGAAGACAGCACTTAACGAGGCGTTTTAGCCACTAGTTTTGGCGAATTGTAAAAAATCATTAACAAAACATTAAGTGCTCAAATTTCGGGATTATATTAAGAATGGTGCTGTTGAGAAATGCGTTTATTTTCATTATGATATTTCAAAATTTAAAGCTCTATGATTTATTTTTCTCAGAAACTGAAAGGATTTAAAACTTTAAAATATATTCATATCTAGATAATATTACCTAATTTATTTTCCAAAAAAATTTAATATTTTAATAAAATTAATTTTTGAAATATCCTTGTCCTAAAATTATAAGGGGTTGCTGTATTCACCTTAAATGTATCAACTTTTATGAGATGGTAGGGTAGCCAGTGACGTTTTTCAGCACACATTTGCGCAAGGTAAATTTACAAATTTTTGGATAATTTTTGTCTTGTAAAAGATGGAAATACTTCGCTGCCGACGCACCAGCAGTGGAGAGTTTAATGAAGACTTCTTTAAAAAGTAAATCCTAATGTCACACATTGGCAGTGGTTAGAGTCTGGGCTTGCGAATCCAAGGATCTGTGGTTCGAATCCCGCCGTTGGCCGGGATTTTATTTAATTTAATTATTTTAAAATATTTCTAATTGTAGGGCTTATATAGTAAATAAAATGTATTTAAAATAAATAAATATATAAAGCGCAATAGTCCTATTTTTCAATTTTAATATTTTTTTTTTCCAAAATAAAAAAGATAATTTTTACCGGGAATTGAACCTGGGTCGTAAGATCCAAATCGAACCTTTACTTCCCATTCGATTTTTGTTCTCCGCTTTGGCTTATCGATGGGTGAGATTACAGAACGTCTGCAACTTTGCAGATCTGCAAATATGGCGGACTTACAAATGCAAGTATTCCAAAAAATATCTGCAAATTCGCAATATTTATTGTGGTTTATTACCCACAACAACACTAAACCCAAATTTTGAATACGGAAACTTGATTCTTGCATGTGTAAGTCAGTCCTATTTGCAGATTTTCAAAGTTGCCGCCATATTTGCAGATCTGCAAAGTTGCAGACGTTCTGTAATCTCACCCTAAAAATAATCCACTTTGGTGGGAAATTTTCTAAAAACCGTTTCCTTATACAATTTTCGTCGGCATGGGCTCAAATGAAACAATTTACCAAAAATACCGTTAAAATAAATGTTCTTCTCTTAGGTTGGACAAAAATCAAGTCCGGAATTCCGGACATCCGAAGAAATCATTCCACTAGGATAAGTTTAAACCTTGGCGAACACCAGGTTGTAGAAGACAAGAGGACCAAAGAAGTTGAAAGACTAGGACGATCGGGAAACAGAAACTACCGATGTAAGACCTGCTTTAATCGTCTGATAGGTTTAAGGTCGGCCAAAAAACACCATTGCGGCGAAAATCGAGAAATCGGTAGAAGGAAATTTTGTAAGTTGTGCGGAATCAAGTTTTTTACTAAAAATGCTGCGCGAATGCGAGATCACATTTTACGATGTAAATTATTTAAAACGGAAGAGAAGTCCCTAGATTACGTAAACGGAGAAGAAAATTTGTTGCTGGAAAATGATTTGAAAGTTGAAATAGATGTAAAGATTGAAGAAACTGAAGGGTATACAGATGTTTAATGCGTACTAAACAAAAAGGAAGATGTTTGATGGTAAAAATGTTTTGTTAAATAGTAATTTAAATGTTGATTATTTCCATATTATTGATGTAAATAAAGGTATTTGTATTTAATTATCAGTTTTTCTATTTTAAGCACTAGCTTTCATCCCGCTTTTTAATTCTCACAAAATATTCTTAACACAGCATGGTGCATTTTGGCTCGATTTTGTAAATATATTTCATTTTTTTGGTGTCTTTCATATCTAAAAAATTTTTTCTTGAATTAAAAAAATCAACTATAACAACAAAGGAGTAAAAAAGTCTATTTCACTACAAGATAGATACAAATCATCTAAATTTAATGGTTTAGCCACGAGCCTTAATTCTGTAATAACCACAGGTAATAAACATGGCACTTGATGTGTTAAAAATTATTGATCATTTAAACTATTATCATCAAGCTATTACAATAAGAGGCCAATTAAAATTTATTGAGAAGGGCTTGCTGAATAACCGAATTATAAAAGATCAAAATTAAATAATTAGAAGATTAACATTATGTTGATCTCTTACTTTTACGAAATACAGCCAAAAAATATCTGTCAACGTACTTAACCATGTAAAATAACGTGGTTTTGAAAATTTGAATTTTTTGACCTTTAAAATGTTTTAACTGAAGTGATTTATGTTCTGTTTAAAGTGTTTATGTATTTTTTAATGCGTTTAACCTATTTGTATAATGTGAAACTAAGATTTTAATGTGACAGTGTTAGAAATAGACTATTTAAATAACTAAAATGAAGAACCAGAACAAGACAGCAAAGTACAAAAATAAGACTAAATTAACTAGTAACGTAGACAATAAATTGAATGATATACTTGATCGATTTCTGATAACATCAGGAGTGGATCAATTGAGTACCAAGAACATATCTAAAGATACAAAATTAAGCAACAATATCGAAGGTGATGATCACATCTTTGACTTAACTGGCAATGAAGCAACCGAATTAACTCAACCTAAGTCGAGTAGTGCAAATACTCGAGACAAACATACAATTATTGAAATGGTGGATAGTGATCTAGAAATAACTTACTCCGGTAAAGCTAAAAGTGATACTAGTATAATAGCAAACTCTAGTCTTGATGACAAAAGGAAGAAAAAAAAGAAAAAGAAACACACCCATACAGTTCCTGAAAAGTCGAAAAAGCAAAAAAAGGATAGACCAGTAAAGAATGATTTTAATTTAACTGATAAGGAAGATAATGAATTATTTTTCTTTGACTTGTCTGGTAATAAAATAAATGATACTTCAACTTTAACGTGTTCTGGTAAATCTGAGAGTGATTCCAATATAATAAAAAAAAGTAAGAAGAAAAAGAGAAAAATTAAACCCTCTTCAACAATTTCTGCAATAAGCAAAAAGAAAAAGAAAGACAGGTTACTGTTTAATGATTCTCAATTGGCTGCTAAGGAAGATAACGAATTATTCTTCTTTGACTTATCTGGAAGCAAAACAAACAGCAATTTGCCACAAATGAATATTCAAAATAATGCTAAACCTACTCATTTTTCAGATAAAGATATTGAAATAACTTATTCTGGAATTGATCCCAAGCAAAATGAAAGCAAATTAGTAAGAAAGAAAAAGAAAAAAAAGCAGACAGAAAAAGAACTTCATAAAGATGATGCCCCAGCTACAAAGAAGAAAAGTCAAAGCAATTCAGAACATTGGAGTCAACTTCAGAGTTCTTCACTTGATTTGATTGGCTTAATTGAAGAAGAGACTCGCAAGAGGAACAGAGATAAAATATCACATTCAGATAATCTTGTTTTGTCGCCTCCCAAAAAGAAGAAAAAGAAAATCCAATCAGAACCTACAGAAGTTGATGGAATCTACACAGGACCACATTTTGTTAGCACTCATTTTTCTGATCATGATGAACAAATTTCTAAAGAAAAAAAGAAGAAAAAGAAAGTCAAACTTGAACCAGAAGTTGAAAATATCGAAACAGAACTCAATTTTTTTAATAACATGGTTTCTGATTATACCTCAGAAATACCTACGAGAAGAAAGAGAAATAAGAAAGTCAAATCTGCAAAAATACAAGTTGAACAAATGGAACAATCAATAGATTTTTTCAAAAACATGTTTACTGATTATAACAAGCCAATACCTAATGAAAGAAAGAAAAAGTCTAAAACCAAAAGCAAAAAAATTACCAGTAATCAAAATAATGAAAATGAGCATGGAATTGCTTACAACACTTTTGAAGAATATTTAAATATGGGCCAAAATGAAGACTCTACATTCCATATTTCACCTCAAATACCTCCAGAAAGTGATAAATCAGTGCAGCCTCATTCTGTGAATGAAATAGACAATACAGTAGATTTTTCACAAGAAAATGTAAATAATTTACAAAATAAAACTGAAACAGCATACAAGAAAGAAAGAACAATTTCTGAGGAATCCTTCAATACTTTAATAAACAGCATTGTTGGGGATTCAACACCAGATGAAGAAAACAGTTTTAATGCAAGTTTAAATGAAGATTCACTTCATGATAAAATTGAAGCAAAAAAGGAACATAGAAATTACATTTCCTCTGATTTTAACTTTGATACCGTTCTAGATACTCTTATCAACAACTTAGAATCAAAAGAGAATAAAAAAGAAAATTCAGATAATGAACTATTTGAAGAAAATGTAGAAGATAATGCACTGTTAAATAATAATTCTTTGAAAAAATCAAAGAAGATCAAGTACAGTTCTGATGCATTAATAAACAATGTGATTGAGGAACCACATGTAATGGAGAAAAGCAAAGACAGCCAAGAACATATTAAACATTTGACTGAAGAAAATAAACAAAACCCTATGAATTTTCTCAGTCATTCGCAGGATAGCAACTCTAGTATTTCAAAAAAATTGAAAAATCAAAAATCTGTTTCAGTACACACCAATTCATATGAAGTGATTGACGAAACAGAAAAAGAATTACACATAAGGAAAAAGAAGAAAAAGCAGAAGAAAACTGGTGAAATAAACCAAGAACAAATTGAACAAAATGAAGAAGTAAGTCCATCAGAAAATAGTAACTGGAAAATACCAAAGAAATCAAAAAAGAAGAAAGATAAAGCTTGCTCCCTGACTGAACATAGTGCTGATAGTTTAATAAACAGTCAAATTGAAGAACTGTATATGAAAAACAGAAAAAAAGATTTGGTTGAAGAAAATCGACAAAATTCTACACACATTCTCAATCGTTCACAAGATAGTGACTCCAGTATTTCAAAAAAATCACAAAAACAAAAATATTCTTCTGTAGACCCCAATTCTATTAAAGAAACTGAACAATTACGTGCAAAGAAGAATAAAAAATCAGGTGATGTAAAGCAAGAACAAAATGAAAAAGAACTGACTGAAGAAATTGAAGCATATGATACACACCTAAATAGCGACTGCAGTGCTTCAAATAAATCAAAAAAGAAGAAAGATAGAACTTTCTTTCTCACAGAACATAGTTCTGATGCTTTAACAAACAGTCGAATTGAAGAACTATATGTAAAGAAGAAAAGTAAAGGCAGCCAACAAAGTAATAAGGATTCAACTGAAGAAAATTTACAAAACTTTTTACAAGCCCTCAATATTTTGCAAGATACTGAATCTAAATTATCTAAAAAATCCAAAAAACAAAATAGTGATACAGTAGACCCCAATTCAAGCAATACAATTGAAAAATCTCAAGAAACAGGTGTAAAGAATGAGATAGAAAACAGAGATGAAAAGAAACAACGAAATGAAAAATTGACTGAAGAAATTGAAGCTTGTGATACACATGTATCACCAAATGAAGTTTTCAGTGACTGTAGTACTCCAAAAAAATCCAAAAAGAAGAAAACTCCACATAATTCTTCAATTGAAGAAATTCAATTAGAATTACAAAATAGTCAAGAAACTGAGATTAATAGTCAAAATGAAGCACATTTATCGCCTAATGATATGATCAATCTTTCACAAAATAGTGAGAACAGTCCTCAAAAATCCAAAAAGAAGAAAACTTCACATAAGTCTTCAATTGAAGAAACTAATTCATACAGTCAAGAAACTGTGATTAATAGTCAAAATGAAGCACATTTATCACTGAATGAAGTTTTCAATCTACTGCAAAATAGTGAGGATAGTACTCTCAAAAAAAACAAAAAGAATAAAACTTCACATAATTCTTCAATTGAATATATTGAATCAGAATTACAATATAGTCAAGAAACTGGGATTAATAGTCAAAATGATATCAATCTTTCACAAAATAGTGAGAATAGTCCTCAAAAATTCAAAAAGAAGAAATCTTCTATTGAAGAAACTGATTCAGGATTACAAAATAGTCAACAAACTCTGATTAATAGTCAAAATGAAGCACAATTATCACTGAATGAAGTTTTCACTTTATTGCAAAATAGTGACGATAGTACTCCAAAAAAATACAAAAAGAAGAAAACTCCACATAATTCTTCAATTGAAGAAATTAAATCAGGATTGGAAAATAGTCAAGAACGTGGATTTAATAGTCAAAATGAAGCACTTTTATCTCTTAATGGTATCAATCTTTCACAAAATATTGAGAGCAGTCTTCAAACGTCCAAAAAGAAGAAAACTTCACATAAATCTTCTATTGAAGAAACTGATTCAGGATTACAAAATAGTCAAGAAACTGTGATTAATAGTCAAAATGAAGCATGTTTATCACTGAATGAAGTTTTCACTTTATTGCAAAATAGTAACAATAGTACTCCGAAAAAATACAAAAAGAAGAAAACTGCACATAATTCTTCAATTGAAGAAATTAAATCAGAATTGCATAATAGTCAAGACACTGGGATTAATAGTCAAAATGAAGCACATTTATTGGTTAATGATATTATCAATATCAATAGTGGGAGCAGTACTCAAACATCCAAAAAGAAGAATTCTTCACATAAATCTTCTATTGAAGAAACTGATTTAGGATTACAAAATAGTCAAGAAACTGTGATTAATAGTCAAAATGAAACACATTTATCACTGAATGAAGTTTTCAATCTATTGCAAAATAGTGAAGATAGTACTCAGAAAAAATCCAAAAAGAAGAAAACTCCACATAATTCTTTTCTTGAAGAAACTGATGCGGGGTTACAAAATAATCAAGAAACTGTGATTGATAACGATAATAAAAATGAAACACATTTTTCACTTAATGAAGTTTTTAATATTTCGCAAAATAATGATGGCAATGTTTCAAAAAACTCCAAAAAGAAGAAAGTCGAAAACTCTGCAAGTGAAGAAACTGAATCAGTATCACCATATAGTCAAGAAACTGTGATTAATAGTCCTAATAGAGTACATTTATCGTTGAATGAAATTTTAAATTTTTCGCAAAATAGTAATGACAGTACGCCGAAAAAATCAAAAAAGAAGAAAACTCATCATAATTCTTCATTTGAAGAACCTGAATCAGATATAAGATATAGTCAAGAAACTGTGATTAATGAAAATGAAGCACATTTATCGCAGAATGATGACAATATTCCAAAAAAATCCAACAAGAAAACTTCACATAAGTCTTCAAATGAAGAAACTGAAGCAGAATTAGGAAATAGTCAAGACTCTGTGATTAATCGTCCAAATGAAGTACATTTACCACTGAATGAAGTTCTTAATATTTCACAAAATAATGATAACAACACTCCAAAAAAATCCAGCAAGAAGAAAACTTCAATTGAAGAAACTGAATCAGGATTGCGAAATATGGAAGAAACTGTAATTAATAGTCCAAATGAAGTGCATTTATCGCTGAAGGAAGTTCTCAATCTTTCACTAAACAGCGATTCTATAATTTCGAATGAATCCAAAAAGAAAACAAATGAAGAAATCATACAAGAAACCGTACGAGATATATTTCCAAGCAGTGAAGAAGGAACGCTAGAAAATATGAAAACTTTTCTTGAAAAAGACTTCAAGAGGGTATCCAGAGAAAGAAGTATTTTAAGTGAAGAAACCAAACAGGACAGCGGTTATGAAGATAGTGATAACATCACCAAATCGAAGAAAAAAACTATTAGCCAGTCTAATGAGGAGAAAAAGAATTACAGTAATACAGAAACGAATCAATTAGGATCTGAAAAATTATTAAATACCGATAGCGAAGATACTGGCGGAGAAAGAACTCTTAAAAGGAAGAAATGCGGTGATAGTGAAACAGATAAACAGACAATCACCAAGAAATGCAAGATGGATCATGTAAACAATTCTGTAAATATCGATGATACGGATAAAAATAGTAAAACCCACAAATTGAATGTAGATGATGTATTTTCTGATGACATTGAAGAAGAGTCTTCAAATAAAATCAAAAGACGTATGGTTCAAACTAGAAGAAGTAGCAGCTACGTTAGTGATAGGGGTGATGTGATAAAATCAAAAAAGATTAGGAGAACTAGGAGTTTATCGGAACGTAGCGCTAGCGACAGTGATTCCAATTTGAATGTAACAGGTATTTCGTTTTTATTATTAATACAATAATTAAGCATACTTTTTTTATGAAAACAAAATATATATAAAAGGGAGAGTAAATACAGATCGATAGGAATAGCCAAAGCTAACTTGAGACCACAGAACACTTACTCTTAGAACGGTATCTCCCATGTTAAAAAAGGATGATAGAATTTTCAGCGCCAACATGCGGACGTGGTTGATTTTTTTTTTAATTAAGTCCTTGTCTGGTAAGAGGCCATATAAAAGAAGAGAAAATAAAAAGAAGAAGAGAAAAAAAGCGCGGGGCTATTCAAATTTGACAGTAAAAATTATCCGCATTAAAAACTGAATACAACCACAATATAAATAAACAACATTCTCGTTTGGTTTAAGCCAAAACTCCATGACATCCCCCACAAAAATCAATTTTCACCTGTCCATTTACACTCCCACCACCCACCCCACCCAATGAACTGGAGTGGGGTAGAAAGCCAATGTGCATATTGTATCATAAAACAAGATGCGACTCTATGGGCGCAGCCATTTTTATTTCTCATCTCACTCGGGAGTATTTATAATAACCATTTTCTGTTTCACATTGTTATTGTTCAATCACTGGTGGATCAGACAATAACAAAGTGAAATAGAAAATGGTTTTTATAAATACTTCCGAGTGAGATGAAAAATAACCTGTCTTTGCCCATAGAGTCGCATCTCAAGCCTATTAACAAGCATTCTACCCCACTCCAGTTCATTGACCCCACCACACGACTGCAGCGTTACCATGCGGACGTGGTTGATTTTTGCTCTATCCCAGGCCTGCGCATATCAGTTTCCCACCCCTGCTTGAGACATTATGCAGAGAAGGATATATGCTGTGTTGCCAAATCTATTAGTATTATGTAGTTCTGCTTTTGTAAAGTAGATACACAATTCATGATTTTATATTATATTTATTATGTGTGTACTAATTAAACAGGGTGTTCCATAATGATGTTGCAAAATTTTAATATAATAGTAATATTTATTGCCCAAATTTGTAAAAATTACATTTAAGGTTGTCATAAATACAAGTTATAGAGTCAATAACCCTGAGTCGGCAACCTCGTGAATGAACCTTGGAACTGCTGACTGTTATATTAGATAAGTTGTGTCATTCCAACTCAGGTGTAATGCCACTGGTTGTAGGGTATTTCCTTTCATTATAATTCAGTTTTAGAATCTGTTCTTGATATGAAAAGTTGTACTTTAAATTAAATAAATCTTTTTAAAAAACTAAATACCGAGTGTACTTAGTTAAGTTGTATAAATATTCTATAAAAGAAAATAGAACACATTACATCTAACATGACACGTATTTTGCTAAAATCACATTGAAAGAAATTATTGTAATTATACAAAATCTCTTCTAGTAATATATGGTTTAGTTTTTTTTTTTTTTATTTTTTTATCGACCATTTTTTAATATGGTTTAACAATTTATTAAATAACTATTGCAGTATAATTAATGGTTTGATGTGTTCTGTTTAAAAAATGATAAAAGGCAGATTAAATATTCTTAAATTCATGAAAAGTGGCGTATAATGTTCTTTTATTGGCACTCTACATAAAGCTCTAATGATTTTTTTTATTTTCATAGTTCTAAAAGATGCATCGGATGAACTTCCCCATAATAATACACTATTGTTTACTAAGCTCATAAAATTAATAATTGGTAAATACTCATTTGCTTTAAATTTTTAGTGGAAAATTATGTCTAAAGATTAGCGTGCAAGTATGAACTAAAAAAGATTATAGTATTATTAAATACATTACAGCATTAACAATAATATAAAGAATATAAATTATTTCAAGTAAGTTTCTTTAATATTGGGAACTGAAACAATTGGTTTTAACTTGGATTTGCCCTACTCGTACCTGTCAATACATCTACTCGTTCTTGTACTTTATGAAATTCAATAAGATGTTTATTTCTATCTACTATGAACTGTACACTCATTATTTGTCGGTCTCAAAGAATACAGAACTTCGTCTATAATGTATTTAGATCTAAGTGATCACCTCGAAAACCGAAACGAACTGAGCTCCGCTCTTCTATTTACTGCTAATTTTACTTTGGCGGTCTTAGCTATACTTTTCGTACTCTACTCAATAATATTATGCTCTTGAAATCGCAGGTATCCTATGTTAGAATTTTTTTAGGTTACGATGTTTATGATCTAACTGAGGAAGAGCTGCACATTCTCAGAACGCTTTCGATTCAATTACCATTTGAGGATAGAATACCGCCTTTACATATGATACAGAGGGCGAGTAAACCCACCGCACAAGACGTCGCAAATGCCAAAATAATAAACGCCAAATTCGGATCATTCACTAAAGATGAAGATGCACAAATTATTAAAAATTGGAAGCGATTTTTGAAGGTAAAAATGTGTAAAGTGACCATCAAGTATATCCTCTGCGATTGCCCGACGCATTCATTTATTAGAATTTTTGTGTCGGCCGATATAAGAGATGTACCGGCTACGTTGTCATCTACATTAAATCTGTAGGATGGCTTACGAGCTAGGAGGTGCCTATCTAGGTTAATCCATCTTCCACAGATACAGAGATGTGTAACAAAAAAGCTATTTTTTTTTATTTAAATCAAATTATTTTTAGATCCACAAATTGAATGTACGACCCTTTGTATTTTTCAAATTCAGAAGACATTGGAACTTCTTAGAAAAAATTAAATTTTTACAATTCTTAGCGCACAAACTGAACGATCGGATGCCGTTTAGAGTTCACGCTAGATTCAAAACGATTTTCGAAAGTAAAGAGGTGAAGAAAGGCAGGTGAGTTATTTATTTAACAATATCTCGAATTATAGGAAGTGGCGCCTCACAGAAATTTGCTTTTAAACCTATAAAAGCAAATCAAATAACTAATAATAGGCACCTTGGAAACATGAAAAAAAAAATGTTTCAAGTACCCCGAAAGTTTTTATTTCCACAGGTTTATTTCAATTTCTGTTCCTGATATTAGTGTCAAAACCAAGTCTGTGGTGTCATTTTTGGGTCAAAAGGAGTTAACTACATTTCTTTATACAACTTTTTGTGCGCTACCTTATGGGCCAAACGCGATAAGCGTATCGCTAATAACATTGTTGTTGTAATGTACCTTTGGAGATGTCTTTGTAGTTTGTTCAGTTAACTTTAGCACATTTAGCTATGCTTTATCCGTTAAACAATAATTAAACAATATTAATTTGGATACGATTATCGCTAAAATATTCAAATTTGCAATAGTTTTAATAGCTCTGTGACAACTATGACAAGACCTCAAAAGTGGTCTAGCTTTTAATGGTGTGCCATCTCCATATTAGTCAATATCATTGGTATGAACCAACGACGAACAATTATTAGATCAATTTTGTGTATAAAAGACAAATTGAAAGCATTCACGTTGTTATCCAAGATTGTTGCCAAATTATTACTGGCTAATATATATACAAGGATTATAATTCGGAATTTACTTAACAAAAGATTTTTAAAATTACATTAAGAAAGTATGTTTGCATTTCAGTTCTTATCAGTTTTCTGGTTGCAACTATTGAAGTTGAATAATGTAAAGCGAGCATCATAGGTGTATGTGCTGATCCATCCATAAAACGTGTACTCGCAATCAACATCCCAACTCACTTTAGTGGGCGTCTCGCTCTTTCTATTGCGGAAACCGGTACGACAACTCTATCTGTCTAACATAAAACAAGAATTTAATACTTGCAATTAAACAAATGCTTATTTATGAATGGAAGAATTAGTCTAGAAGTTGTTCGTCGTTGGTATCAACAGAGCATAATAAATAATAATTGCGCAAATAAAGTGACGATTCTTTTAATTTATAACGAAACTTTTTCTACCAGATATACTTTTGATGAGGATAAAAAGATAATTGAATTTATGCATAAAACGTTGTCGACGAAACCGTTCTACGAATTGGGAATACTTCTGAACCGCCCTGCTACCTCAGTACAAATGAGATACGCTCACCTGACTAGCGACAAAAATAAATCGCCCATAAAATGGACTACCTACATGTCCGAGAGAATGGTCAAAGGTGAGATACTAATAATTTATATCTAGGTAAAATTGTAGTAAACGCGACATTTTTATGTCCCAATTTCTCCTGTTAAATTAAGGAACCCATCTCCATAACCCCAAAGTGAAAACAAACCAAAGAAAAATTGAAAAAACTACTGAAATAATTGGGATCGAACCTGGATCCTCCAGTTTACGACTCGTCAGCCTTACGCATTAGACCATTGGTACTAAAAGTAGCAATGATCGAACTGTGAAATATCACACAACAAAAAATTACAGCTTATTAATCAAAAGCTGAAAGCCTCGAGTGTCGTAAATAATTCTATTATATATACTTCTTTCATGAACGAGTACTTATCAATGGGTCACATGTCAAAGGTTTACCCCATCATGGAGTATAAAAAGAGGAATGTCTAACAACTCGTCTTCGAATGTTTTTGGATGGATCTTGTGTTACTGGTTCCAGCGTTTCAATTAGTGACCTTCAGATGGTCGGACCTGTAGTCCAAAATGATCTTCTATTAATCCTTTTAAGATTCAGACAATACTCTTACGTTGTTTCTGCTGACATTGCTAAAATGTACCGTACCAGCAGCAGTGCCGTAAGTGTTACTGTATTTAGAGAATATGTGTCAACAGAATCGGAAGGTACACTTGATGGACCTTTTAATATCAATTTATGAACATATTCAACCATTATTCTCAAAACGTTTGTAGGAAATAGAGTTTCTACAATTAATTCTAATTCAAAGGCTAAATGTTGGAGACATATCGGTACAAAGGAAAATTTTGCTGACCTATTGTCACGAGGAATCGATCCAAAACTTCTCGAATCGTCAACTCTATGGTTGCACGAACCTCTTTTCTTAATGGAATCATCTTCAAATTGGCCTAATTCCAATGTTCAGTCTCCTCAAAAGGTTTTCAAAATTTTCATCATTAAAAAGGGTCATTGCTTATTGTAGACGTATTCATCTTAACTCTCTAACTGCTGATAGGGTTCTTAGATCCTTTGGTCCTCTTACAACTAAAGAATTCCATTACTTGTATTACGATATTCCATAATCAATTATGACAGAAAACATCCCAGTCAGAACTTTTAAATCTTCTTCATGCCGGTCCTCAACATCTTTTGATGGTAATTCGTGAAATATATTGGCCCATTTCAGGTAAAACTACTGCAAAAAAGGTAGTTCGTGAATGTATACGTTGCTTTCGTGTAAATCCTACACACTTCACTCCGATCACAGGAGATATATCTTCTCCAAGAGTCACTCCTTCATTTCCCTTTGTTAAACTGGAGTGGAGTACACTGCTCCATTGTTGTATTCTTTGAAAGCCTACCCTTTCAAGTATTTTTATAAAGGTGTTTATTTGCCTTGACTTGTCTCAAGCAAAAAGGTTTTATGTGCTTGGGAAGGAGCAGTGGTTTATCTATAATATAATCAGTCAATATACAACACCAACAATAAAGTCATATTTTTCAATATTTTTTTTATTATCTTGAACTCGCCAATTAAATATAAGAAAATGGGTCAAATCCCCACGAATTTCTCTCTCCCTTCTTTATTTTGTGTGATGTCCTGAATCGAATGATGTTGATACTTTTAGCCATGATGGAGATCGTCAAAACGGAAAACGTTAAAGATTTGGAACATTACGTATTCAAAGAAGCGGAATGGAAACAACTGTCGGAAATTTTGGATAATATACCACCGAGAAAATTGCAAAGAGCTTGGAAGATAACTATCCACAGCAGGCTATTCATGAAGGGGACCAAACAAGACATCGAAAGACAACTTATTAACATGTAAATAATATATACGTCCGTATTTACAAAGCATTTTTAAATAGTTATCTTGCGTGTAAAACCTTAAAGATCATTGTCAATTCAGAGATGATGACTTAATTTCTTAATCACATTCTAAATAGTTTCTGCAATTAGTAAAATTCAAATAAATGAATTATAGTATCTGAAAAACTTGTATGTCAGTTTACCAAGATTAAAATAACACTGAACTGTCACTTAATTCTATTTGACATTTATTATACTGACCTTTCAATCTGTAAGGTTTTATTAGTGGGTAAATTTAAAAGATGATTTGTGAATTGTGCAATGAACTAATTCCTGATTTATTGTTTTTTTAAACATATATTTTTAGGATGATAGAGAATGGAGAAGACGATTTTAGGGCGATATCGTGGCAAAATTACGCCGATCAATTCCGAGGCGTCACGGCCAGAAAATTAAACGATACGTTCAGAATTTTGGTCCGCAATGTCCCTAAAAAACTGAAAACAGATTTGAAGAGTGAGTTTTATTCTATCACTGTGACAGCTGATAATCGTGTCATGTTGTCATAGGATAGAGGACAGATCACAGTATATTACGAATAAAAATCGACTAGGTTTACTAGTGTAATCACGAAAAAATAATGGCGGTTCATTTTTAACCTTTCAGAAGTGCAATCGTGCAAATCACAGTTTATTTTAGCTTTCATCAAGTGAAAATTACAACTGGGAGTCTAATTTTCAACATAATATATTTATTATTCTCATTTACCACTTGAAAATACAAACAAAACCTGTTTCGGCCGTTTTTGCATTTTGTGTTGCCTATATGGCAAATACATATTATTTCATGATATTATTTTGAGTATTTAAAAGAATCGCAGTTCATGATGTTCCTCTCCTAATATTCTCATTTTTTCATCGAATTCGAGACGAGGGACGAAATTATTCAAAGGTAAGAAAAAACTAGTTTCCATCATATAGTTTATAAAATCATACAGTTCACTTAATGCACACCATTAATTGGTCCTTCGAGCCGGATTTGAATAATTTTGTTATGTAGGTACCTAGCCGAAGTTTAGTCCGGAAATTAGTTGCTAATATTTTAAAATCATCACCGGAGACATCCAAATTTAGTAGTTTTTACAATTCATATTCAGTTTAAAATAACTAATTCATTTGCTTATTTTATTGAATTAGAATTGTTTACTAGCGTAATATTGTAGTTTTTTTTTATATAAAAAACGTCGAGATCAAAACATTCTACTTTTGTTGTCGTAAAAAACGTTCTTGGAATTTGTCTCATAGATTTGTAGTTGTGCACATCACCTTTGTCATTTTCAAATATGCCGAAAAATTAAAATGAATTAAAAAACGAGAAAATATTTTTCGAAGAGCACAGATTTGTATGAAGCAGGAAAGACCGTAGAAAAGGATGCACAAAATTATACAAATATACGAAACTTTTCGATTAGATTTAGTACTATCGAAAAAACTGTCCTTGACTTCGATGAAATTTTCCAAGAAATTATTATTTTGTAACAAGAAATGAATCCCGATGCCGATGTGGATTATTTTAATATTTCAGATGCGTTTCAGGACATTTATTCAAGTATTGAGTATTTAGCGGCAATGTTATCGAAAGCATTCTCAAAAAATTAGATTTTTATTAGATAGCGGTTCTTCTATAAATTTAATAACCCGTGAATGTGTCAGGAAATTAGGTATATCATATTCCAAATTAAATTTGAATGTCTCAGGAGTAGGTATTTTATCCAAATAATAAGAGTTTAAACTTCTCAAAAGTATTTTTAACCGACTTCAAAAAAGGAGGAGGTTCTCAATTCGTCGCAATATTTTTTTTTATATATGTGCAGCGATAATTCTTTAACACGGTGTCCGATTTCAATGATTCTTTTTTGTTAGAAAGGGGGTACTTCATGGGTGGTCCCATATAAATTTGGTCAAAATCTAATAATTGGGTCCATGAGAAAATCCTCAAACTCTTCATTTTATGTTTAGCTATAATGCTTTACTACCTTGTCCTATTTATATGATTTTTTTTGTTAGTAAGAGGGTACCTCAGGGGTGGCTCCATTTAAATTTGGTTAAGATGTGGTGATGGCATCTGCACGTTTTTCAAGTCGGTTTTTTTTAATTTTTAATTTCTAATACTTGTCTGTTAGTCTCTTTGGAACAATAGTTGTTACTATTGTAGATAATTGGGGACATTCTAAAAAAATTAGATTTTATTAGATAGTGGTTCTTCTATAAATTTAATAACCCGTGAATATGTCAGGAAGTAAGGTTTATCAAGTTGAATGTCTCAGGAGTAGGAGGTTCAGAAAAGCATATTCTAGGAAAAGACCATATAGTAATATTTCCACATTTTGAATAGTTTGTGACCAACAGACTTTTTAGGTGTTGGTTTTTCATTCCATGTGAAGAAACTGTTGATAGTGCTTGGGTTTATACCTTTCCACATTAGTAGATAATTCTATGTGGTTTTCAGATCCGAAATGGTTATCAATGGATGCAAATTATTGACCAATTCAGTCAATGAAACTGAGTATTTGTTAAAGGTTTCTACATTTATATATATTATATATTAAAAAAATTTCCTCTTGGTCCAAACTTTTTGGACTTTAGTTTGTTTTAATCAAATCCAAACGTTTGATTTAGAAAAAGCAGAATTTTCGGGTAAATCCTCGCCGTTGGCAACACTGTTGCCAAAAATACACTAACAAACCTAGCGGATTTTTATTCGTAACTCTGATCAATTTTAACCAAGTTTCCTTTTATTTTTAAATGAAATTTGTATTACACTGTAGGACAGGCTGCTGTGCTACTATGTCATTATCGTTGTGTTAAACATTTTGGATGACTACATTTTTATTAATGTGCACAATCCTGCACTATTTAAACAATTTTTCTTCTGTCCATCATTTTGGATTTAAAGCTGCAGCCTGATAATGACATTTTGTCAAATATTTGATAATTTATTAGCTGTCACTGATTTCTCTCTCTCATATATACATATTTTTTTTTAAATAAAATACGTTTTTGTTGCAGGTACTTTAGAATACATATCGTTGCATTTAGGCGAATTTGGCACAAGTCATTTGCAGTATAGATATAGACTTAAAAATGGAAAATTAGTTTGTAAGGAAAGAAAGAATTAGCAAAAACAGTAGAAGTTTTATTTTGTTTGTTCCTTGTTTAACCCTTTAATAACTAAAATAAAGGCCACATCGGATGCATTTTTTACATCTCGAGCGTTTTTTTATCCACATCGGACACATCTATCCCATTACATTTACGTATACTGAATCACGAGATCAAAGATTTTTTACATCTCAGATGCATCGGATGTGGATTCTCAAACGCGGCATTAATATACCAATCTGACACCTATGATGCTCAATATCTAGACCGGATGTAGCAGGCCGCGACGCCTGTATTCTGTGTATTGTGGGTTGCCTTGGAATTAGACCGTGTATTACCGGTTGCGGTGTGTCCAGGTGCGGTCTAAAGTGTCCCAACCTCTACTATCCACTGAATGTCCAGTCCATGGTAGATATCTATTTTATATCCATGAAATGTAATTTATAGACATGCAAATGTCCATAAATAATAGTAATTATATAGCAAATTATTAAAAAATTACGCCATTGCGCTCGCCATTGTGGCTAATAGTACCGTTCAGATATTTAAAATTAATATATCACAGTCTAGGCGCGAACGCAAACCATCGTGGATATCCACTAGACGTTATTTGATTCTGTTTACTAAGTACAGATGGCGATACCACTATCGCATCTACTCATGCTCAAACCGCCGTAATTGAGTTCGATCGAAATTTGTGTCCTAATCACTTCTTTAGAGACTGGAGTCGAGAATTTTCATTTATTGCTGAAGAGTCCTAATAAGGATGACTTTCTCCTTAGTGGACAAAATCAAAGGCAGAGTGTTGAAAATATTTTTTATCTCTGCTATTTTATTTCGACGTTATTCAATAATCATTGGTTACTTATGAACCTCTACTAAAGATATCCATAAAATATTTTGCTGAATATCCGAATATCTTCTATATCCTGGGATATAGACGGACATTTGGTTGGATATCCATATTGGATATATTGAATATCCACAAAATATATTCTGTGGATATTTCTGTGATTTCTTGTATTTTCTGGAAGATATCCATTAGATATTTTGCTGAATATCCATTAGGATATCTTCTATATTCTGGATATAGACGGACATTTGGATATCCATATTAGATCCACGGAATATTTCTGATATCCTGTGGATATATTAGATATCCACAAAAGATATTCTGTGGATATATCTGGGATTTGGTGTGTTGTCTGGGTACATAGCTCAAGGATCGCCATTTCAAAATCTGAAACTATTGGTCTATTCTGGCACTCAATAACGGTGCATTCCGTTTTCGTAATTTTTATACACCTGCTATTTAAGAATTTAAAAGATTTGATGAGGAAACGTGTTTCAACAAGACCACATGTCACTCTTTAAACCGCTTTTTGCCCGTTGTTCGGTGCCTTTTCCTGGAAAACTGATTTCTCGAAGAGATTTGACTCCATGCGACTTTTTGTAAGGATATTTAAAAGTCCAATTTATCGCAACCGCAACCTTTAATTTTTCTATGGACTTAACAAAATATACAAAAGAAGTTACCTACATTTATTTGACAGAACATAAAACTTAACCAAATGTATAATGTAACTTTGAACTACTTTTAACGTACGTTTATTTGTATGAAAATTTAACGCATACGTTAAAAATTGGCATTTTTTTTCGTTATAACCGACTGAAACTGATTGCATGCACCCATGGACGAGGCCATTAACGTTTTGGGGGAAAGTGACTGTTTTGCTTAAAAACAGTGACCCTGCAAAAAAAGAATCTGATTGTCATTTGTCATTGTTTTTTTTGCAAAATTTTGCTTATCCACCGCTTTTCGAGGTTATGTCCGTATATTTTCATTAAATTTTGAAATTCATTGAATTAATTTCGATATGGCTGAAAGTGCTGGCAACTGGTGCTTAATCGAAAGCGATCCAGGAGTTTTTACGGAATTAATACGAGAGTTTGGTAAGAATTTGTCAATATAGAAATAAATTTGTTGGTAGAGTTTTAAATAAATGCTGTGTTTTGTATAGGATGCAAAGGGGTACAAGTCGAAGAGTTGTGGAGTTTAGACGGAGAACAGTTCGAAAGTTTAAAGTAAGCTTTGTTAATGCCTAAAAATGTAGTCTTTAATCCATTAAAATTTACAGACCCATCCATGGATTAATATTCCTGTTCAAATGGACAAAAGATGATGAACCTTCGGGTTCTGTAGTACAAGATAATCGTTTAGAGAAAATTTTCTTTGCTAGACAAGTTATAGAAAATGCTTGTGCGACTCAGGCTATACTGAGCATACTTTTAAATTGTCGACACTCTGATTTAAAGCTTGGACATACTTTATCAGAGTTGAAAGAATTTTGTCAAGGATTTGACGCCAATATGAAAGGTAAATTAGTAAAGATGTTTATTTTGTTACAATGATGATTTACATTATTACAAACTTTTTATTTAGGTTTGACTATTAGTAATTCTCCTGTTATCAGAACAGTCCATAATTCATTTGCTAGACAACAGTTGTTCGAGTTCGACCCTTCAGCTGCACAAAAGAATGATGATGTGTTTCATTTTGTTGGTTATATACCGATAGATGGACGATTATATGAGTTGGATGGTTTAAAACAAGGCCCCATTGATTTAGGGGCTATTCCCGCGGAAGCTGAGTGGACAGACATTGTTAGACCAATTATTGAGAAAAGGATACAAAGGTACATTTTCATTAATTTTTTTTCCTAACTATAGTTTTAAATAAAATAGTTAAAGGGAAAAAAGGAGGCAATGTATTCTTTTGTTAAAGCTTATTTTTGCCACTAATTATAAACATAAAGTTATTTATCTACTCAATAAACATAGATTGTAACAAAAAAGTACAATGTATATACATTGGCGGTGAAATAACTTTTCTTAAGAACCTTGCTAGAGTGAAATGTATTTAAAATCTGATATACAGATCAGGTCTACCTTAGTACCATGGGGAAGCTAATTAGGAGCAAATTGTGATTAAACTACTATTTTTTATTATTCTCTCTCATAAGTAGCCAGTAAACTACAAATAGTTACAACATTGCTAAATATCATTTAAAATGATATATGAAACTTGCCTTTGAGTTTTTATGTTTTTAACCTTGGCTATAAAACATGTGGAATATTAATTTAACCAAGGATTCATTTTCAATAGAAATAAACTTTTAGATAAATAAAAAGTCGCCTGATTTTTTTTTTTTTATATTACAATGCACACAACATATGTTTTGGAAAACAATCTTTTTCATCTTCTGGTGCAGTCAATATAACAAAAAAAAACATGGAGGACAATAACAAACAATTTAAAATTTTTATAAACAAATGGAACCCCATTGCTTGTTATTGTCCACAGATGTTTTTTGAAATTATTTTGACTGCACCAGAAGGTGGAAAATATTGTTTTCCAAAACATATATTGTGCATTGTAAATTAATATTAAAAAAAAAAAAAACAATAAAAACTTGTGACCGACATAACCAAGAAGCTTTTTATTCATATAAAATTCTAGTACAATCAGAAAAATATTCGTTTTAGTTTAAAACTGACACATAAGAAGTGTCAAACCTAATCTTTTTCATCTTCTGGTGCAGTCAATATAATAAGAAAAAAACATGTAGGACAATAACAAACAATTTAAAATTTTTATAAACAAATGGACCCCATATTGTTTGTTAGTGTCCACAGATGTTTTTTGAAATTATTTTGACTGCACCAGAAGGTGGAAAAGATTGTTTTCCAAAACATATATTGTGCATTGTAAAATAATATTTAGAAAAAAAAAAAACAATAAAAACTTGTGACCGACATAACTAAGAAGCTTTTTATTCATATAAAATTCTAGTACAATCAGAAAAATATTCGTTTTAGTTTAAAACTGACACATAGGAAGTGTCAAACCTAATTTTTTTCATCTTCTGGTGCAGTCAATATAATAAAAAAAAACCTGGAGTACAATAACAAACAATTTAAAATTTTTATAAACAAATGGAACTCCATTGTTTGTTATTATTTTGTATCTTTAAAATCTGCTATTAAATAATAATTTGAACATCCATTAAAATTTTTTTTCTTCTAATTTTGACATATAAAGTGCCATTTTTTGTAATTGCAGCAAGTGTGAAAATGATATACTTTATGCAACCAGTTGCATAATGTTGAACATTATGAAACTGGTTACGAAAAATTCATTGTCACCAGTTGCAAAAAAAGAAGAATAAATCGTTTTGGTTTTACAATCAATATATGCATTGTTATTGAAAGTTTATATCAAAGACAAGCAGGTTGACTTATAAAAATAGAATTTGGTTAAACTTACAATTTAGTAATAATGTTGTTTTGGTCCCAATTTTCCCATTCTAAATTAACACAAAATAATTAAAACACAATACACAACAAAATAATTTACTTTCTTGAAATATTAATAACTAACAAACAATATAAACATACTACAACAAGTTGTTGAGAATAAATTAATATTATTTTTTATTTGTCAATAAAAGTATGAAGTTAATCATATGCAACTAACAGTACAAGAAATTAGTATTATTCAGTGTAGACGTGTCAATAATTTTTAACCAAAACATAATTTTATAAATAATTTAGTCAAAATTAGAAAAAATATTGTATGTGACACGTTACGAACTGCCGTTTTATGTAACTCATTAGCTATTTAAAGCAAATTGATTGAACAATCAAAAATAATTTAGTAAATTTTTAATCTCTTTAATGAATCATCTTACCATCATTTTAGTCCTATAGGCATCATTTTAGACCACTTTTTCCTACTATCTATTCTCAATATTTTTATTTAGATTACTAACAAGTGTTTAGTGATTTTCTTTGTCGAAATAAATTAGTGAACTACTGATACTTATTATTGGTTATTTTATTTATTCCTGGCAATAAAATGATAAATTATTGACTCATTTTTAACTCTGCATTCACAACAACAAAGCATAATGGGGATTATATATTTCCATTTTCGGATCTCAAACGATTTTCTGACTAATTTAAAATACAATTTGGCAAAAAATGTAGGAAACGACAGAGCTGATAGTATCTTAGAAAAAAAGATACTTTTCAGTATCTTAGATAAAAGATAGTATCTTGTATCTAGATACTTTTTCATGTGATGCAAAAGTATTTAAATTTAAAGATACTTTTTAAAAATATCTGTATCTCGTATCTATTTTTAAGTATCTAAGATACTTTGTGAAATAGATGTTTTTACGTTGCGCGAAGGTCACGAAATCTAGACACATGTTCAGACCTGTCGATTATGCGTTGATCGGTGAGTTGCATTGCAGAGGATTTCATTTTGTCAGTGTACTTGGCGGAGAACAAATCTCTTTGTGAATTAGCTAGGTACTCTGTAAAATACAAGGATCGGTAAAGTCCACAGCAAATTTTTGATCAGTATGTATATAAAAATGATAAGCGAATTAAGCGAAGAAGGTTAAACACAATAAACAACCAAAAAATAGACACAATATGCCACCAAACAAAAAAGTCATGGATATCACAAAATATTTAATCTCCGCCAAAGATAAAATCGTACAATTTGATAAACGTCTAATGAGCTTTATTACTGGAACAGTGTCAGCAATGTCTATAATTGACAATCCCAGCTTCATTCAGTTATTTGAAGGTTTTAGAATTAATGTTAAGTCACGAAAAACGGCAATGAACCATCTCAATAATGCTTTAATCAATATGCTGCTCAATTTTAAACAACAACTTAAGGATGTAGAATATGTAAGTACTACGGCTGATGTATGGTCAAGCAAAACAAGAAGCTTTCTAGGTGTGACATCTCACTGGATTGATCCCAATTTCGAAAGAAAATTGGCTGCATAGGCCTATCACAGATTTAAAGAAACACATACTTATGATCGAATTGCAGACTTACTAGAGAATATCCATCTAAGTTTTGAATTAAATAGAGACAAGTTAGTTACTACAGTTACTGATAACGGGTCGAAATTTATTAAAGATTTTAAGGAATTCGGCGTTACTGGCGCTAAAATACAGAATCTTGCATTTGATACGGCAGAAGACTCGGATGAAGAAGATGATGATCTACAGGAAGGTGACGAGATTCAAATAGTATCTTAGATTTTTTTTTGTTTTACACCCTTCAGACCTCCCGTGCTACACCCTAATCCGTCTGTAGTCTGGCAGCACTGCAGCCTGCGGCTTATTGTACCACCATTTGAAGGTCCTACTACTTTCCCATTCACACCCTCATTCATTCATTCCACGTCGTCGATGGTTAAACGCTAGTCGGATGAATCCCATGGTGACACGGCCCATGGTGGAACCTCCCAGCGGTCACCCATCCACGACGTGACCGGAGAGATCACTTGCGAGTAAGTGGATGCACACTAAGCTCGCGGCTAGCCTCTCCGGCTAGTATCTTAGATACTTTTTAGAAGTATTTTGTATCTAAGATATTTTTACGAAAGTATATCTATCTTGTATCTAGATACTTTTTTTAAAGTATCTTTTCCAACTCTGGGAAACGATATGTGCAAGGATGCCAGCATTTAGCCTCTCCTATTGTCATGTTATGTTGGGAATGGGGTGTTAATATACTGCAACCTAAAATATCTATTGTATTTCCTTCTGTCGCTGATGCAGCAAGGAAATGTATCGATGCCTATAACGACCCTTCCAATCATATCTTCTCAAGAAAGTGTAGGATTTGAAGCGATTTAGAGGTCTCTTACTCTTATTTTTTCTTATGATCACTTATCACTTTGATGATGTGTTTGAGTTTGCAGACGTGCTGGGATTTCCTGGGGGGATATATCCCTAATATCCCCACCCGTGGGTTAGCCACTGATGTTGCCGGCATAACCTTGTTATGGCAACTAAAGGGTGATATATAATTTTTTTTTGTTTGGTTTAGGTACAGCGAAGGCGAAATCCATTTCAACCTAATGGCGATAGTGAGCGATAGAAAAATGCTGTACGAACGACAAATCGAGGACCTTCAAAAGAGCGACTCGATGGCTATGGAAACCGATTCGCAGCGATCGGAAATCGCCAGGCTGCGATTGTTGATCGCGGAAGAGGAGAACAAGCACCACCAATATCAAATAGAGAGCATCAGGCGGAAACACAATTACTTGCCGCTGATAGTGGAGATACTAAAAATTCTAGCCAAGGAAGGGAAACTCTTGCCGTTGTACGAACAGGCCAAGGAGAGGACGATAAAGAGACAGAAAACGAAAGTTACGACCTAAAATTTTCATGTAATGTCTTAAAAAAAATGTATGAAGTGAAATTTTGTATTTTTAAAAATGTAAAACATGTTGAGTGAAATAAAAAGTATGAATTCGATTTTTTTGTATAAATTTATCTACCCATATTTATTACTGATGTAATGAATCTATTTTTCATTCACTTTTGAAATTTCTTTTAAAATATTCCCCATACCACCGACAATCTGCGCCCAGGGCACGCGAAAGTTTTATTTTGGGCTTTCGGTATTCGCTGTGTGCAAGACTGGTAGCGCTCTCTGGTGACGGGATAGCGACAGTTCTCCTCATTCATTCCCGCATACTTGCTATACACCTCGCACTCAACAGTTGAACTTGAAAATTCTTTTTCAACAATTAAGTGTTGCAACAAGTTTTGTGTTCGCTGTTAGTTGATAGACTAACAAAAATTGTTTCTGTCGCACAAAAAGTAAGTAAATGACATAAAAATATTTGGAGGTTATGCATACGAAGTATCTGCGTTTTGAATGTCATAAATCAATGTAATTTGTCTGTATTTTTAGATGCTACATTTTTGTCATGAGTGTCATCTTGTACACTGGATTTGAGAAAATATCTCATGACATAAACTTTCAGCCTGAAACACCAAGAAAAGGTAAAGATTTGGTAGAAGCTGGGCATGTCATAAATGTCGAAGAGTCAGGTGTTGGCCTTTTTATCCAATTTATGTGATGCGGTTGGAAACGTATAAAACTTACACGCACTATTTTTGCTAGTGTTTTTACACTCGACAACACTACAATAACGACGACTCATTTTAATACCCAACACGAGACCCACAACACGCTGCCGCGCTACTACGATGATGTGGACAATCGCCGACTCCTGCCACCATAGGCGCTGCGATAGCTCAATCTATCCCCTCCAAGCCAAATGCACACAGCGAATTAAGAAACCCAGACAACACACCAAATCCCAGAGATATCCACAGAATATCTTTTGTGGATATCCAATATATCCACAGGATATCATAAATATCCCATGAATCTAATATGGATATCCAAATGTCCGTCTATGTCTAGGATATAGAAGATATCTTATGGATATCCAGCAAAATATCTAATGGGTATCTCCCAGACAATACACGAAATCCCAGAGATATCCACAGAATATCTTTTGTGGATATCTAATATATCCACAGGATATCATAGATATCCACTGGATCTAATATGGATATCCAAATGTCCGTCTATATCCAAGATATAGAAGATATTCTATGGATATCCAGCAAAATATCTAATAGGTGTACCTTCAGTAGAGGTTCATAAGTAACCAATGGATATATCCTATAGATGTTTAACATATCCAGTGTACATCCATTATTTGATATATTTAAGATATTGAAAATTATATGTCTGTAGGGTGTCGTATTTAATGCTTCATTAATTTTTTTTGAAAGAAGTATTGTTCAACCTTTTGTATAGAGTGTCACTTATACAATATATAATTTAAAAGGGCTGGATCTGTGTATACAGTATGTCCCCCTAAGTTGGAATCATATGAAAAACTTTTTTATTATTAATTTTATAAAAAAAAGTTATTCATAAAAAGTTCTGCATTATCTAAAACCTAGAATACAGTCATCAAATATCAATTTTTTTCAGTGGTATACGAGGTTTGTCAAAAAATATGAGTTTTACTCAAGAGTAAGTACCTTTATTCTTTATACGACTGATAAAATTTGATATATTTGATGGTTGTATTTTAGGTTTTAGACCATGCTCGACTTTTTATAAAGAACAACTTTTTTCCTAAAATTAATAATAAAAAAATTTTTCATATGCCGGCAATTTACGTAGACAGTTGGTGGCATAGGAAAGCTCTTGCTAAAGAAAATTTCTGGGTCCGCCCCTGCATCGAAATAAAATCACCAAGAACAATATTTTATTCATGTCATTATTCGGTCGACTTAAAATTGATGACCGTGAAAACAAATAATAAATTACCACTCTTGGTCATTATTTTTGATCTAATGAAAGTAAAATCATATACTTATACAATGTTCCTTTAATTTTAGCTATTTTCTTGAAAGAAAGTTTTGGTGAGGTCGGAGGAAGACATATTATTACACTGTCGTTTTTTTTGCTTTATCACTCTCTAATTTTACATACGAACAAAATTAAAATGTATAATTGTTTTTTAATATCATGCAAGGTCCAATGGATACAGTTATGCATCTTTTCACTGAAAATTAAATAAGGTTAAAGTAAAATTATAGACGCAGAATTAAATATAAGTAAATGCAAGACTTTCCATGTTTTTACTAGCAGAAATTTAATTGAAATTATATTTTTGCCAATCTTTGGAGACTGCCTAAAGATAAATTAAAAAGTGAAATAATAATTGATCTAACCTAAAATTAAGGACGAATAGGGGTGTTTACATATAGCTGTTATATTGGTTGTTTTCAAATTTAGGCCCCTTAGAGCACAGACTTATTCCTCATAGGAAATTAGATAGACCTGTGTGTAAAACTTTTTATCTAACTTTGTTGGTTTCTGGCGACCAAACCAAGATGGAAAATAGGTAAGTTGTTAATTCAACCTATTTTAAGCCCAAAAATCTGTGATAGCACCATGTATACGCAATTTCCTGACACCCTGTATATAAGATTTAAGATATTGAATTTAAATTTTTTTATCTTGATTGAAGGTAATTATATTATTTCAAAGTAAATTTAGGTTCTTACACTCGCTTGTTTCAAATCGTCCTTATACAGTCATTTAATCAAAAAATATTTTTTTTGATGCGTTTCAAAACGAAAAGAAATAGAAAAGTTTTAACCGATTTCAAATCCTATTCTAGAATAGTGTCCTATATTATATTACAAAAAAGGGCGAATACTAAGTATTTATTTGATTTAATTTTGGTGAACTATGATTTAGTACCATTACTTTTATTGTGTGAACACAGCTTAAGTCAATTATTTATATTTAGTTTTGTTTAGTGGTATTACTGTATGGTTAACAGAATATTGACTTATGACAGATGGTGTCGTTCGTTGTTGGTTGTTGTTGGTTGTTGTTGGTTGTTGTTGGTTGTTGTTGGTTGTTGTTGGTTGTTGTTGGTTGTTGTTGGTTGTTGTTGGTTGTTGTTGGTTGTTGTTGGTTGTTGTTGGTTGTTGTTGGTTGTTGTTGGTTGTTGTTGGTTGTTGTTGGTTGTTGGTTGTTGTTGGTTGTTGTTGGTTGTTCGTCGTTGGTTGTCCGTCGTTGGTTGTCGCTAGTGCTCGTTAGTTTTCGTTGGTTGTAAGACAAATGTAAATTATATAAAGAAGTTAGACAGTATAATTCAAACTAAAGACCATGTAAATTAACACATTTTATGCTGATGGAAACTAGTATATCTGGCACCGCCACTGTTCGTGCTTTATTTTTACTTATTTCGTATTTGAGTGATGTACAAGTCACAATCAGCCTATATTCATTTTGTCATGTTTTTAATGGGCCACACCCTTATTCTCAACACATAACAACTAAAAACGAAAAAGAAACAACCACTTTTAAAAATGTGATAATTTTTTGGCTGCTATAACTCATAATTAATTTTTATATCGGAATTTTTATGACCAGCTTATTCACGATACGTTTCCAATTAGCAGGAAGCACGACCCATAACAAGTTTTTAATAATAAAAATTTAAAAGCGAATGTGGTCTACTTTACATTACATTATCTGCATTTGAAGTACTTTCGATTTCCTTCAGGTGACCCAATTGTAATTACCGAGAGACCAGCGGAGATAAAATATTTAGTAACAAATACGAGCATGCACTCTATACCGTCCACAGAGTCGGATTATTTATAGTGAATAAAATATTTTATTGTAATTTAATTTATTAGTTAATAGCGCAGTTTTCAAACAGTAAACAGTTCTAAAATAGTAATATTTCTTGTGCAATAGTATATTTGAATAAGTGCATACACTAAGCGTTGTACTCAGAATGTACTCTACAAATTTTCTACATAGCTTTGTCGATTTTTTGGTTGTTTAGAGCTCCTGAAAAATAACTTGAACCTTAAACCAGATAATAGGAATCTAATGTAAAGTTTTGACGTCCATGTTTTGTGGGCTACTAAAATACCATATTCGTTTTTGTATAATAGATATATTAGCACAGTTATTAAACATACGTAATCAAAAATAAACTTGCTAATTGTTTTACCTGCAAGTATGCTTAATTTTAAATAATATTTGAACTTCTACATTAAAATCCATAAACATTAAAATTATACTCATTGGTAGGTATTTAGTCCAATCATTATAGTAAGTTCACCTCGGAATTCGAGATACCCAGCTGTAAGTCTGTAAATACTTGTATATTGACACCCTAAAAGTTGTCTCAAAACCTACATATAGTAGGGTGTACGCATCTATTAAATTTCAAGGTTAAAGGTCACAACAATCGGTTTTTTGCGCTTTTTTTGTAAATATCTCATTTCCTATGGGTTTTTTGCTATTTGTATTTATTATCAATATTGTAGAATATAAAATTCTCTAAAAATTTTGTTTAAAAAAATTTTTCATACGGTGAACCGTTTTCGAGATAGATGACGGAGAGCGCGCGGTCACAGCATCACTTCTGGTCAACCGGTGCCTCCGGTCGAAAACGCGCCATATATAGTTGATGAAATATCGATAAATCAATGATTATAAATATTTGTCAATTTTTATTAACTATTATATTATATTTTATCATTTTTTTTCCTAACCTATCCACTTTTTATTTAGTATTAATTTATTTAACAACACTTACCTGCCCATGTAATTGCAAAATTGTTAATGAAAATATAAGAATTATATTTGAATTTTAACCTAATTAATATTAATAAATTCTTACATGATGAAAAAAAAAACAAATAAATTATGAATTAATCTTTTTATTAAAAAATTTCATTCAATACATTTATTTTTATTAAAAGTAAAAAAATGGAATAAAAGGTACAAAAACTACAATTTATAATTTTAATAATCTTCTTCCTCTTCATCGTCCTCTTCCGGCTGCTGGTAAATTTCAAACTGGTCTTCATTATCGTCTTCAACATTTCTCTCAAGTTCTTCCATG